ATATATAAAATGTATAATCCTTTTATAATATATCAAAATAAATAATGAACTTCTAATAGAGATAACACGTCAGTATAAGACGTGTCTGACATGGTAGGAAGCAGCACTGATGTGGTCTTACTGGATCCATAGTGAAACAGGCTCTGCTCCAGTCCAGAGAGGCTCCGAGCCTCCTCAGCTGCTGGTAGATCTCCTCTCCTTTCCTGGGAGACACAGGGACAGAGGTGAGCGAGGGAAACGCTGCGCAGACCAAACAGTGGACAGGAAGTGATGATGTGAAGGTGACGACTTACTCATTCTTCCACTTCCACACCTCCTGCAGAAACTCCTCCCTGGTGAAGTCCTGTCTGCGCTTCCCCTCTTCCCTCAGCAGCCTCCTCTCCACTACTGTCTAACACACACACACACACACACACACACACACACACACACACACACACACACACACACACACACACACACACACACACACATTAATTTACCAGCTACACGTATCAGCTGTTTATTGGGCGTTGAACAACAAGTGAGTCCCAGCCAGGTTCGTCACTTTTTCGTGTCCCCTGGAATACTTCCATTCACTTCGAAGATTTTTTCTGTGTGTTTTGTCTATTTGCATGTGTTTTCTTAAGTTGCAGTGCTTTGAGCTCTCAGGGCCACCGTAGTTTCCTGAAGTTGACTGTGCATTAGATGCATTAAGTTAAGTTAATGATATTTGGTGTAGCCCTGCTCTCTGGCTGTGAAAACATCTCCTGATGCAGGTCCAGTGGAAGTGATGCTGAACTAAATCCACAGTCCTCAACCTGTGCATAAACCCATTCCAAAGTAAAGTGAAGCTGACATGAAGCTTCATCAGGCAGAGTCAGTCCAAAGACTGGAGCACTTGATTTGACTGAGTCAGACTCCTGAAGCCTCGTATACTGGCATACAGCATCTGTTGAACTTTCTAATCCATTTCAACAGAACCAGGACTGTGGATTTGTCCCACATCACAGGGACTGAATTAGCAGAGGATCTGTTCAAGGACAGTTTGAACAGTCAGATCATTTACTCTTTCAACTGTGAAAATTGTTTCAACAAAGACTTTTCTTTAAATCCCAGACTGTCAAGAAAGAGGAAGTAGAGAGGAAGCTGTCATACCTGTGTTGCAATACCCGCATGGTCACATCCAGGAACCCACAGCACTCTGTAGCCCTTCATCCTCTTCCTGATGGATCACAAATCCATACATTACTGCTCTATACAGACGCACTAGTGACCGCTGATACTTTACACAAAATGCTGCACATGTAGCTGGCATTACCATCGAACCAGAGCGTCTTCTACAGCCACAGTCAGAGCATGACCCAGGTGCAAAGTCCCGGTCACGTTTGGTGGAGGGATACACAGAGCGAAGGTCTGATCCACGGTGTGAGACAACCTCTCCTGAAGAGACATGGAACAGACACAGCTCAAGAGTCAGCAGGAACCACTGCACACTGTTCTTTTTGTCCTTAGAGTCCATGTCATCAGCATCTTCATGGTACCACTCTATAACAAGACCACCCTTATAAAGGATTTATGAATGGTTTATAATTAGTTTATTAATGAGCTTGTTCAAACTTTAGAAATCATTTATAAGCTGTTATAACACATTAGAAAAAAAGAGTGACCTGTTGCTTGCCAAATAGTGAGCCCACATGTCTCTGTACTGTTCAGCCTCGGATCTCATTAGTTACTGAGCTTTCTTTGTTTTCTCCATCATCAGCATCTGTAGCTGCTGCTTCATCACATGTTTGTTCAGTTACTATCAATGAACCAGCATCAGCATCTTAATGGTGAGAAAGTGATGATATGATCATGATCATATCAAAGCAGATTCATCCTCTGAGGTCGTGGCAGTGTTGTTGACCTTGACATGCTCTCAGCAGCCGTATTCATTCTAATCACAGCTGTTGATCAGATCGTTCTGCTCAGTGGAGATTAACATGGAGATGCTTTCTGCTGGTTGCTCTCTTCTTTAGGACTTTATCATCCAGGTAGAACACAGGTGGGAACCTTCCTTTACCTGGTGAACTGCTCACCCATCCTTTGTCCCACTGTTCACATCTCTGTGATTCTCCCTCCATCATCTTCATGTTTCTTCTTCTCATTCTTACAACCATTTATGATCATTTACAAACATGTACAACTGGTAAAAGGTTAAAACACGTCACCATTTATTAATGAGTTACTATAAGGCTCCTTTTACCAGTTATAGATGGTGGTAACTCATTAGTAAGATTAATGAGTAGTAAACATTAACTTGATCGTGTCAAATAGTGAGCCTGTCTGTAAACAAGTTATAACTTGTTTATAATTGTTTATTTATGATTTATAAAATGTAAACAACCAAATGAATAACCTAATTATAAACCATTTATAAATCCTTTATAATGGTCTTATTGTAAAGTGGTATTGCATTATTATTATTATTATTACTAGAGTAATAATAGTCAACCTTGTTTGTACATATAGACTTAGGAACTGTGCAAAGAGTCTTTTCTGAACACCCTTGTACATATGGTTTTAGTAAATCTTAGCGCAGCTAAGAGCCAATCCATTTATCACAGGTGCAAGACATAGAGAGTTGTGGTCGTCCAGACAGGATGTAATAAAGTTCAACAGCAAACAGAAACGGTCTGGGTTCAGAGAAACTTCTCTTCTGATAAAGAGAAGACTAAAAAAATGACTCCCACATTTCTGGCTTGGTATTGTTTGAGATTAAGCCAGGTTTTGCATTATTTCCACGGTCAGGCTGGTGGGAGGGGCAAATATAATTATCTTAAAAATACAAGACATCCAACACTAATATCAACAAATCAGTCATTTCAGGAAACCAAACAGGGCTGACAGAAACACGTGTCATCTTCTTGCATCTATGAATTATATGTCCCAAAGGGAGCATGTCAATTGAGAAAAGAATAAAGCCCAAAGCCATCAAGCCTCTGAGCGACTGCGCCAGTACATGTGTTGGATCGACGGCTGAGTCGGCAGCATCACAGAGACACGGTGTAAATACACCTGTGCTGGTAACTATTGCAGCTCATGTTCCCTGTACTGTTACTTGTTGATAAAAGCGTATTGAAGTGAGTGGCGAGAAATGCTTCTGGCTTCCAGAAAAAGTTTGGGAACCACTGAGCCTGAAAGTTGACAACAGCATTCAGAGTGTCATTTAATTTCTGATACATTTCTGTGACACATTAAAGAATCTGTTGCTTAAACACAATTGCTTTGATTTAATTTATATTAAATATTATTTATCTGAAAGGCTGTGTTAAAGTGAAGTGAAATTAACGACAGCAGTATTTAAGTGTCATGTGCTCTTGTGTTATAAAATCCTCACATGTTGTTCTGGACTGAAGAATCCCTCTTTCTCCCACCACTGGTACCAGCTGGACTCCACATACTCTGGACTGTATGAGGGTGGGAATGGCAAGCTGGTGTCTGCGAAGAAAAAAAGACTTTTCTAAGTCTACACACAAACAGAACATGGAGACATGCTGGTGCTGGACCACAAGTGACGGGAAGTTGGTCACCTTTCTTTGCCCCATGAGGTGTTTGAACAGTGTACACTATCTTCTGCTTCTCACTCCATTTCACTGACTTATCCTCAGCAGTCTGGAAACAGAAACATCAATGTTGAAATACAGTTGGGTCAATTATCCAGAGTCTGCCTCTGTTACACTCTGTGATCGTTCTGCTTAATATCTATTTATGACCCACATCAGACCTGGGACATCACAGAGCTGAATGTGGGGCAGTTTTGTTGAATAGAAAGCTATTATGACCATACCCTGAGAAAACAACCCTGCTGTTGTCATATTGATGCCTTCGAGATAATCTCAGTTTGGGGACTACGAACCAGATAGCCTGCATTACAGACTGGAGGTATGAGCCGTGACAGCCAAAGAGGAAGGGTCTAATGAAAGATGCTGTCAAGTTCCATTATAGGATGTGTAGGATCCAGTGTTTTAACCAATACCAAACATAAAGTACCCCTTTATGGAGCCTCTGATCATGAACTCCAGGTTTTTCTCCTAAGTGATTCACCAGCTTTGACAGGCCATTAATGAATGAAGCATTACGCCATTACACTTTTTCCTTATGCTTCTTTCCTACTCACACTGTGTTGACGTGACAGTATGGCCTCCTCCCGCTCTCGTCTACGCCTCTGTTTCTCAGCTTGGGGCCGCGGAGAGGAGGGATTTGACTGAGATGACGACGGAGGTTTTGGTGGGTTGCTGGAGCAGAGTCTGGCTGCTCCTCTCCCTGCTAGCCTCGAACTGAGGACACGACCTGCCCGCCACATCTTCAGTGACACACTTACACAAGAAAACAAACACACCGGCGTGTCATGTAAACGTAGGTTGTTGATTCAGAGAAGCCAGTTAACTTTGCTACATGTGAAATAAATTCTGTTATTTTTTCAGCAAAGTTTACTTACTGTTTTTAGTTCACTCAGGGTGAAGATGTCAGTCACCTTTTCACTTAAGCTACTTAATCATTGAAAACCCGAGAACGTACAATGTTGCTAATTTGCTAATGTGATGTAATGCTAATTTAATATTACGTCACTGTATCACCTCGTAGAATAATTGTGTCATGTTACTTTGCTATAATATATTTGTCTTTTAATCTCACCGTGAACATGCTGTTTTTTGGCGGACTGTTATACTTTACGGACAACCGGAAATGGCCACTGTCCGTCTGGGAATATCTTCCCCACAACACTACTGCTGTCAAGTGAAACCGAACAGGAAACCTGCCTCAATTTAAAAATAAAATAACTTGTACACATAACGTTAACCAAAAATGCAATATACGTATCCTAAATGCCGTTCCCTCACATAAATATAATTATGCTATACCAAAGTGTTTTGGCGTGATTTTGTTGTTCGCGCGACACCGTGATTCGCACTAACTGATTATCGTTTTGACCTGGAAACATTAAACTTCCGTTTTGAGTCCAGCTAACAAACCAACTCATTTTGCAGCTTGACTTTGTGTTGGCCACATCCCACTAAAGTGTTCAACACATCGCAATCGTTAGTATAACAACCTTTAATTTTAACACAGGTTGTGATTTGAAGAGCCAAGGTGAGCTATTGTAGCGAGCATATAGCTATATATTACAGAAACTCCGGATTTTTTTTAACATCTTGAAGCTAGCTAACGATAGCGTTAGCAAAGCAGCTCCAGGGATGGCGGAGGTTCCCGGGACATCAAGTGAGACGATAACGGAGACTGTTCAGACTAGCACGCCGCCGCCGCCCCAGCAGGTAAATAACGAAGAACTCGTCGTGAAGACGTGTTGATTATTTTCATAACCGGTGCTACTGTACGTTACCGAGCCGTGTCCAGCATTAACGAGGCCATCATCCTGTCATCATCCTGAAGTAATAACACAGCTCTCAGCCGGCCGTGTGAAGCTGGATGAGGCCTAACGTGTTAAGCTCCTTTTAATATGACAGTGCTCGTTACTATGTTAGTCAAGTATTATGATTACAGCAGTCGTATATCTGAATATGTACAAAATGTTCCCATGTAACATTATGCATTAAATGTAACTCCGTGTTGGGGTTCTCTGGAGTAGGTCCTTCAACGGGTTCAGGTGTGGCTCTGGACCTAGACACACACCAGCTATTAAACTCAGGTCTTCCTGATGGAACTGATATAAAAACCAGACTATCTTACCAAATACATTAGTAATACGAATATTAATAGTTGAATGTGCACTGAAATATTCATTAATTGCAGTGTAAAAAAAATAATGCATCAATGTGTATAGTGAGAACATGTGGACCCCCCAGTCTTTGTGCATCTGGTCTGGTTCTATTTTTGCTGGTTTGGTTCATACCCCTTAGTTCAAATTAAGGGAAATCTTGATTCTCCAGGAAACAATGATGCGGTCCAATGAGGTCCCCAGTAAAAAGGGAAAAAATATTTTCACTATAATTCCATCCGTAAGTAACACAATGACAGAATGTATGACTATTCTGGTCATGGGTTTCAGTCAGTTGTGTTTGGCATCTTCAAAGCCAGCTCCATAAAGAAATGGTTTTCCTAGTTTGGTGCAGAAGAACTTGAGCGACCTCAACAGGTCCCTGACCCCGATGCATCTAACACCTTTGGGATGAACTTAAAGACCGACTGTGAGCCCAACATCAGGGTCGGAGCTCACCAGTGTGGAAAATCTCAATGTGTGTTCATGAACGATACATGCCATGCATTACTTTTAGGAGCACTGGCGATGGGAGAGAACATGGAAACTCCACATAGAAAGTCTCTGAGATGGCTCTTGTTGGGTTAGGACTCGCGGTTTATTACACAGTTAACCACTGGGCCGAGTTTGCATTTGCTACCCAGCATCTCACAAGAGACCTGTCACATGTTACAGGAGGGACGAAGCCTGACAATCAAGCTGAGGAAGAGGAAGACTGAGAAGAAGGTGGAGTGGTCAAGTGACACTGTTGACAATGAGCACCTGGGAAGAAGGTCTTCAAAATGTGAGTTCATCTTCCTCATCAGCACACACTGAAGCGTGATTGATGCAGCGGATACTTTTCCTTCACCACAGGCTGGATTATTGACTTTCAATAGCTAGACCTGCTTTTAAAATATTGTCGTTTTATAGGTCGTCACACATTTTTATGCACAGTTCTAATGGCCCCTGAATATTACATGATTTTGGTCTCAGGTTGTCAGTCTGAAAAAATAAATAAGTAAAAGACTCAAGAAATAAATTAATGTGCCATTAAATGCACCAACAATAATATAAAAAGATACAGGCCTTAAACCCACAGTCCAGCCATGTGATAGGTTTATTTCTAGTCCTGTTTTCAGCTATAGATTTGCTAAGTGCCTCCGTTATCTAACGATGTCCTGACTGGGGGTTCCCATCTCTGCTGTGAGCCACGCCACAGGCATGTACAGTCCATGCACTCTGATGTCGATCAACCAATAGGCGAGAAGTTGACCCCATGACACACTTTGAATGACAGCCCCTTCATTTACATAATAAGGCAGAAATGCATAATGAAAATATAGATATAAGTTTGCAGGAAATGAATGGGGAGATAAAAATGAATAGATAAATAAATAAGAGAAATAAATAAATGGATAAATTAATTAATACAAAGATAAATAAATACAGAATCAGTTTATGTCACATTTTATTACTTAATTAATGCCTCTTTATTTTTTATGTTATTCTTAGTGCATTTAATGGCATATTGATTTATTTATTGAGTTGTTTGGTTAGTCTTAATGTTGGCAGTCTCAGTCCTCCATACACCAGTTTTAGAGCTTTGGACACCAAAGACAGCCTACATCCAAATTCAGCGTCAAAATGTGACTGCTGCCACATATCACATCTGCAAATCAGCCAATCAGAATATGACATAAAGTGATGTAGGATACATTGACTGTATTGTGTGTCTTTGCCTGACTCCATGTATGTGTGTTTACATCATCAGTACATTTCTCTTCATATTACGATGGCTCAGAATGTCCTGTCACCACGGTTCATATATCTCTGCAACACTGACACTCTACTGTATCTGTTGATATACACACATTGTGTGTGTGTATGTGTGTGTGTGTGTGTCTGTCTGTCTGTCTGTCTGTCTGTCTGTCTGTCTGTCTGTCTGTCTGTCTGTCTGTCTGTCTGTCTGTCTGTCTGTCTGTGTGTAAAAGCTGTGAACGTATGGACAATTCAAATAATTTCAATTTGTATTGAAACATTAAAACTGTCTTAGAGCATGTACAGAACAAGTGGTGTGTTAAATCATGGCATTTCTGATGAATGATCATATAAGACAAACATAACATGAGTTAAGATTGGAAAGAAAGGAGTTGTATGGTGGATTAGGACCACATGAGAGAGAGAGACAAGACACTTTTCCTGCCTCATCTGGGCAATAAAGTTTATTCTATTGTATTCTAAATACTTGTATATCAGAATTGTAACCGTTTCCTCAGAATGAATCATTATTAATTCAGTTCTGCCTCTTCATCCTTCTGCTGCGGCTGAAAAACTATTTTTACCACACACTCCCTTTAGCTACTATTTCTGCCCTGACCTGTTTGAACAAGGTGTCGTGCTGTATTTTTAATTTTTAATTTCTAACTGAGAACTAGAAGCTTACAGTGAGTCGGTGAAGGCATCACCCGGATCAACCCTAACCATGCGTGTTGTGTTCCAGGCTGCTGTGTTTATGAGAAGCCTCGACAGTTTGGAGAGTCATCCTCTGAGAGCGAGGGAGACGATGATGAAGAGGGCTGCGGCAGTGCTCACTGCATCCTGGGCCACGGCAGGAGAGGCCACGGACAGAGAGGGGCCGGGGGGACCACAGTGCCCCCAAACTCTGGAGGGTCACACACCCACTAATGAGCACCGCAGGTCGATTGCGGGGTCTGAGTGGTTTCCCACCACAACAATGACACATTACAAAGCTGCACTCTTTGTTTTAGTTTAGGTCCATCACTGAGGTACAGGCAGGCCTGGTGCTGCGTTCTAGTCATGAGTCACAAACTCCCGGCTGCTGGAGCAGGACAACAGCCTCTGTGCTGCTGTTCTTATTGAATTAGCCTCATTGAAAACCCTGCTCTCCTTTCAACAGCTGAAAGCATGCTCAGTATTGCGCCAACTAACAAACATAACATGGAATGATAACTGCAAGTTCACATTTTACATTTCTTTTTAACTCTATGACACATGCTGTGATGATAATCGGATTTAAAGGGCCATACCAGTGTTTTTTTGTTTGCACGGTTTAGCCCTTTTATTACAAACCACACCCACTTAGCATTAGCTCTCGGCGGGCGTAGGATGGTACGATTTGAAATGGTTCCATATTTTCCAGGCAGACACTGGTTTCCATTTATTTCGCGACGCTATGAAGATGAAGTTTGAGGTTTGTAATCCATCAGAGTGAACGCCATGTTCACTTCCACAGAGTTGTTGTTGTCCATCACAGCGTCCATACGTGACATGACTTACTTAGTTTACTATCACTCTTACTGCAGACATCAGAACTGGTGAGAATTAGTGTCAATAATCAATTATCAGTATAGATGTAGATGATTTTCTGTCCGTCCACAAACTGACACAGTCAAAAATCAGTTTGGCTTTATTATCGATTTTTTTTCGTTATGAATATTTTGGTTTTCAGGAAAGGAAATGAAAAACTTTATTAACCATCATAAGCTTTCATGTCTTGAAATGTCTTTTGTCCACAAACCCACAGACGCCAGTGGATAAATTCAGTGGAAATTTTTTGCTGATTAAACGACTTGAACAATAACTAATACGTTTTTTGTTAAGGAATTTTATTTATATATTTATTTCTGACACAAAATACGTCATCAGCCTGCACTTACACCTGCATTACCATCCATTAGTAACAAACAGAAATGGTGGGTAATATGAGCTAAAACAAATAACATACTGTATTACAGTGATGTCACCATGTCAAAAATGGATTACTTATTTACTGAATTGAATTCAAAATTCTGTCCCTGTCAACAGCTAAAACAAACATGATAACGTGCCAGCTAATGTCTGTAAGTGTTTAACCCTTTACTATAGCATGGACTAACACCAGTACACTAACTAACTAACTAACTAGCCTCAGATGTCCAGCAGCAGGAGCTTAGTCTCATCCCGCAGTGAAATGAGTGGAAACCAGTGGAAACAAAGTGTCTGTGATTTGTCGTGAATTCGCTAAAACAAATGTTAACGTCTTCAACTCATGATGTCGCCACAGTCAGGTGGTTGCAGAGTTGATAGACCTTCGCTCAGACTCCCAACGTCGTCGTGTCGCACTTTCCCCAGCAGCATGTCGGACAATGAAGCGTCACTGGAACGCAGCATCCAGTGAGTCGGGAGCTGTGAGGACGTGGAGGTAGAGAGGCCGTAACGTGTGTATGTTCCTTTTGACAAAGTGGCAGAGTTAATTGTATATAATACAGCACAATGATTTTTATTTTATTTTATTTATTTGCTGGTCTCAATTCTAAACTTGCTAACACTTGAGCACAGTCTGTTTGCCGCTACAAACCGTGATGTGAGAGTTAGAATAGAGTGGATTAAAGACCGGACGCAAACACAGATCTCCCTCTCACATTTCTAATTTGGAGACCAAATTCCAACTTTTGTGACAATTGCTGACAGAACATAGACTTAATTACATTATTGCTGCACAGGCTTCTAGCAGCATCAGTATAATCGGTCAGACCTCAGTGATCAGTGTCAGACAGTTCAGCCCTGGGCCCTGTTCTTCACTTGTGGCTAACTTAATGAATTAGATTCAACACAAGCAACACGTTATTCAGTTCTTTAAACCTGTTCACCAAGTTTATCTGACACCACTGTCTTAGCAACAAGACGTTGACCACAAACTTTAGTCACAGATGACTCCTCTCTCTGACACACACCGATGTATTTATTATTTAAGATAATTAGCTCTAACTGTATCTGAGGAAGGAGTTAGCTGGTTAACACCATGATAACCTGGATTACTTAACCCATGTCTTCAGACATGGTCCTGAAGACATGACATGACTCAAGCTAACCTAAATTTTATGTGGATCCTTCAGTTCAAAGCTGAAAACGTTTAAACATGCAAAAAAGTGCAACATATGAATTACAGTCAGTATATACGAAGAGAACATTTTTAATAATAAAAGAATGTATTCATAATTACAACTGGAGTTTAAATGGAGATTTTCTTATACTATAACTATATTCTTATCCTCTTTGATTCCCATAATCATACCAATTTACAAAGTTGTCCCCAGGAAACTTCGTTGACTTTAAGAGGAACTGAAGTAAAGCAGCTGTTGCTTTAGCTATAGTTTTTAAAGCTCCATATTTTCCTCTTCTCTTCTGTTTTATTTGAAGTATTGATCCATAAGAAGATATACTTGTGGTTTTAAGAACCAAAAACCATCTCAATGTAGATTTACATCTCCTTTCTCAGGCTTCTCTCTGGAGCTCTAGTAACAACAGGTCAGTGAGCCAATCAGAAGAGAGGAGGCTTGGAAACTCTCTTCTGAATGGCTGACTGTTTTCTGAGTGATTAAATAAAAAATATAGCAGATTTCAGGTAAACACTCAGAAACCAAATCCTGCAAGGGTGGGGCCAGGTGGGCGGGACTTGGGGCATGGCTGAGAGCGGGGATTGCTTTGTTGTGACATCACAAAGTTCCAGAAGTCCTGACGGCTGGTTTTAAGGCTCAGTTTCTCTCTACAGGCTGTGCGCATTTCTCTGTGGACTGAGGCTTTGATACTTTCACAGTATTGATATGGAACCTAGACCTGCTTTATAATCACACTACACATGGACAGAGACCTTTAGACTATATGGACCTTTAAAGAAAGAATATTAACAGGATGATTGAAATAACAAGATCTGTCTTTAATCACAATAAACATGTACAGATATGTATTAATAATACAGTAAGATGAAATCATTACAGTGGAATCACAAAACTTCATCATACAAATTCATCTCTTGTTTCAGGGTCTTCTCAGCAGCTGGTATTAGAGGCTTTGACAGTCTGAGTTGTAAGATTCATCGCATAGTTTCAAGACTGATTTAAAAAAAAAAAAAACAGGCTGATATATTTTGATAATGTGCAGACACATCATTGACTAACAAAAACTAAAACATCTGTATCAGTTTTAGCTTCAAAACCCCTGCATCGTTCTGACTCAAGTTAGAAGCCCAACGACCAATCACCTGTGCTGATTCTGCTCTTGTTGATTTTATTTAAAAAAATAAAAGAAAATAAAAGCTCCTGTGTTGGAAGAACTGAATTATCTGGATAAGAATTAGCTGGACATCTTTATCAGGCTAACATGACCTGTGCCTGGATTAGTTTAAACCATACATGAAGAATGGGGGCCGTATAGGGTTGTGATCTGTTTCTCACCTAGAGCTTCTTAGTGCAGCAGAAAACTGCAATAATCTTTCAAAAGTGGATACAAGCACTACAATTGGTATGTTTATCCCTCTGGGGCCATTAACTTGAAAAATCCCATTAGCCACTTGAAATTTCAAAAATTCAAGATGGCTGACATTTCTGTCATAGGAAACATATATTTTATCACAAAATTTTACCCACAGGACAGATTTCAATGATTTTGCACTTCAGTCCTATGAGAATGTCAAATTCACAACTCCTTTCCTCAGAGCTTTATTTGTACAATTTCTAATATGTATTGTGAAAAGGTCTGCATAAAACACCATTTATTATGAAAGATGTAGCAAAAGTTTTATAAGAGTAACCAGTCTACTTGTTTAGTTGTCTTAACATTAGCTTGCTAGGCTAACTCGCTGGCGGTAGGCTAGTTAGCAAGCTTTTTTATGAGTCATTTTTTTTTTTTTGTAAGTGATATTTTTGCTCAAATATAATTCAATTTAAACATCCATTTTTACAGTAAATTTCACCTTCTACATTGTTAATTTTGGACTATTCATATGAGAAAATAGTGGATAGTGGATGAACTTCTTGCAAAAAATAACATTTCCTTGCCAGAAATGGTGACCATCTTCATCCATCATCTAATGTGTTTATCTAAAGAGTAATACCCAAGAAGCATTTGTGCCAAGTTTAGCATTTGTATCCACATTTGAAAGTTTTCCCTGAAATTTGCAGGTATCTGCTGCGGTATCTGACCTCTGATTATTTCTGCGACGCTGCAACTGTCAATTTTGCTGTAGTGACTGATCACAAATCACTCTGTCATTTGATTTTCTGACAGCAGTGGATTTGGTGAACCCTCATTAACAGAATGATCTTTAGATAAAAACGATTGTTGTTTCTTTGCGTGTGAATGAGTGAGGTGAGGACAGAGGACGGTTGAGTTGTCGGCAGCAGTGTGGACGCATAAGCTCTCATTCACTTAACTCTTGGATGAAGCACCCGTAGGCTCCCACTGAATTCTGCTGCATGTCTACAGCTCGTGCTCGTGGCTGTGTGAGAGTGACTGATATGTTTTTTCGCTGTGGGGTCAAGCTGTAAAGACGGGGGTCCCTTCCTGACTGATGCGGTGAGCAGGACAGGAGATGAGAGGATGCATGACTGCCGGCCCAGGCTTTGTACTCATGTCTCAGCTATGACCAAATCTCACCTGATACAGGTTCCATCATCATCATCCTCCTAATCCTCCCCTTCAGTTTTAGACCATTTTTGATATGTGACAGTACTGTGGATTCCACGTTCATTTATGCCACCACCTTTCTGTACTATCTACACACATAGACATTGTTACATATGTACATTGGTCTTGTACTGGTAATGCACCGTTCTGTATATACTATTAAGCATAATGAGAGCAGATTTAATGTGAATTAAAGTTTTGAACTGTGATTAAACTGCCTTACAAATATGTCTCATATGTTACATGGGAGTATGATACTAGTTAGTCACATACACCTCTGCAGTTGCTGTGGCGTTAAGGATGTACAGTGGCAACAGGAAGTCAGTGAATCATCTCCATTTCTGTATAAATATGTCTTTGATATGAACCAACACAATCTATTTGAACTAATAACACACTTTATAATAACGCTCAGTCATAAGTCATTTATAAGCCCTTAGCTAATGATGAACTGATCAACCAATCACTCCCAAAACACTGATACACATGTGTAGATGATTAGTAAGTGCTGTGTTAACGTAACAAATGTGTTGTAAGTCATCTATAAACCTTTAGTAAATCATGAAACAATCATTACCAAATAATTAGTAAATGATCAATGAGTGGTTAGTTGATATATTATGAATCACTTGTAAGTTATTCAAAGATGAATCTGTAAGTCTCTATACACATTGGTTAATCAAAGGATGACAAATGATGAACAAATAATTAGTAAATGATCAGTATATAATTTGTTGATGTATCATTAATTACTTGTAAGTTAGCCCATTACAAGCACAAAAAATGATTATGATCAAGCTATTATTAAATGAACACTAAGTGACTTGTCTTGAATTGAGCAGACATTTATACATGATTAACAGTCAGTGTGTTTAACACTGACCAGCTGGGTCAGAGGTAAACACAGTGACTGGCCCTCAGAGACCAGGGTTCTGATCATAAAGTGAACTTCTGAACCAGTACTGACCTGCCAGTGAAGCTCCTCACATGTAGGTGAACAGGGTCTAATGGCTCCATGTCTGTCCCCTCCCCAGGCCTGCAGAGGCAGTCAGCCCTGAGAAGCGCTGCAGTACAAACTACAAAGTGTTCTTCATCTGTAATAAATGACATGCAAACCAGGCTAAATCGCTTAGGAAACATTCTGCATCGCCCTAATCTAAAGTGTAAACCAGTCATCACATCTATTCTTTTACAGTGTTCAAATATGACCAAAGGATGTGTAAGTCACAGCAGAACAACATTGATTGCAACCACGTAGTTCCAAGATAAGACATGCACATGCCAAATGAACTGAAACTAGAAAAAAAACTTACAACCTCATGTGCACAAACATGAAATTCCTAGTAAATGTTTCTATCTTCTACTGTTAAAATGTAACCTCTTTGGATGTGAGCTCCTGTCAACAACAGCAGATGCTACACTGTGGTGTCAGCATGATCAGTCTTATAGGTCTCCATACTGCCTTAAAGGGAATGTATTCTCCCTAAAGTGTTGACAGAATTATTAGGTGTTGGTGTTAAATTTTAACAGACAGTTCAACAAATTACATACTGATCATTTACTAATTATTTGGTCATCATTTGAGTAACCAATGTGTATAGAGACACCATTACCATACACTTACAGATTAGTGAAATATCAGCTTTTTCAGTAACTTACAAGTGATTCTTAACACTTATGTTTCATGATTTACTAAAGGTTTATAGATGACTTACAACACATTGGTTACATGTTAACACAGCACTTACTGGTCATCTACAAATGTGTGTCAATGTTTTGAGAATGATTAGTTCATCATTAACTAAGGGCTTATGACTGAGCGTTATTATAACGTGTTACTTGTTCTTGTCCATGTGGAAAACATGATTGAATTCACAGTGTAGCTGGAAACAGTCAGAGAAGCCCTCGACTAATGACATGAACAGAAGCTGCCTGGAGGGAGGAGTTATCAGAGCTGGAGTCAGTCAGTGAGACCAGACTGGAGGTTTGGGTCAGAGACACTTTGACTTCTAAAGACAAACATCAGCTGATGTGAAGATCTCAGAGACTGAGGATGAAGAAGAGATGATGAGCATGAAGCTGGAAGGGTCACAGAGTTCAGATGTTCATCAGTCCACAGTCACACAGACTGTCTATAGATGGAGATGATTCAGTGACGTGACGTCCAGCTGAGACTCCAGCAGCTCGACACTGACAAAGGTTTAAAGGAACCATTTGAGCTGGTTCACATCTCTGTTCATGAGTCCACCACACACACATCATAGAGCATGGAGTCCTGTCGCCATGGACACCACAGAGGAAGCCGCTGCATCACTGAGCTGAAGACTGACTCTCCACAACACTACAGGAAACCGATGGACTGATGAGACTGAGGTTGGACTGTAGAATGACATCAGCTCTGTGTGTGGAGTAAACAGGTCTCTGCACGTCGACATGAAAACATCCTCCCACAGCTGGAGCAGGGTGGAGGGAGCATCAGGATCTGGGTCTGCGCTGCCTCTGGACCTGGACCTGGACCATCTCCACATCAAGTTTATCAAGGTCTCTTCCAGGATCATGTCATGGTGTCTGTCCACCTGCTGAAGCTCAGTACAAGACAATGACCCTAAACATCAGAGTAAATCCACCTTCTGGAGTGGTCCAGTCAGATCCCAGACCTGGATCCAGTAGAGATCTTATATTTCTTCTCATCTATGGGACTTTGGGTTTAGTGAGGGTCAGTCCATTCCATATGTGCAGTGTAGCATAAATACTAAAAAAATCATATGGTGATCTCTGTTTCTTTCCACCAAGGGGAAAAGGGGGCCCCTGATGGCCCGTCATATTGGCACATTTTGCAATGACAACTATAAATGATGATGTGCGTCTACCCATAGTCTGCATGTGAGGCATTTAGGTGACATCCGTTAATTGTAGCATCTGCCATGGGCTTCAATGGGCTTCTTTACCAGTGGCCCCACCAGAGTGTATGATTGCCACTGTCAATATCAGCTGCATGAGGTGATAGTAAATCAGTGTTGTGTTGTAGCTCGTTCCCCTCCACCACATGGCCAAATGAATTATTGCTCCCTTTAGGTGGGTCCTGCTCTGCTACCTTGAGGTCAAGGATCCTTTTCTGAAAGAGGTCCCAGTGTCAAAATCTGATCGAGAAGTAAAATATATGCTGTGTTTACATGGTGTATAATCCTGTATTAATCTATGTTTAATTCAATGACCGTACTGTGAACCTGAGGCCAGGCCAGTATTCAAGCATACAATTAAAGAGTTAAATGAAGCCCAGCAGCTCCCAATTCCAGGGGCTCCCAGAAAGTGACCGCGGTTTGACTGAGTCTCTTTTATTCATTGAATTCATGAGTTCATGTTACTGTGAAATGACCAGAAAACAACTGGAGAACAAAAGAGGGACGACATTGTTCCTTTGTTTTAGCACAGAGGTTTAAGGAGATGAGTCTGCAGTTCAGTCATTTCATAATGTTGGGTCACCACTTGCTTGAGTTAGGTAGAGGAGACTGGGGATGGTTGCAACACTTTGTGCATTTCTCTCAGTCACTCAGAGATGATTTGGACCAGACCAACCAAACTGTTATATATTATATATATATTAACCTTGGATCTGTCTGCTAATTACCCATACCATTTACACATGATTACATACAACTGTCATTCACTATATATTTATTGAATGGAAGAATTCAGATCTTGCAACTGACCCCAACCCTTGCAACCCTGAGGACGGTTACAACACAGATCAGAGACGGTTGCAACATATTAAATATACATTAAATTTCACCAATTAACATTGTAAACGCAATGCAAATATGCATGTCAGTGCGATGGCTCCAAACCAGGGGTCTCTACCCGTTTTTCCTCTGAGAGCTCCTCATGTCTTATATTACTGGTTACGTTTATTCACATATTGTATCAAAACACTCAAAGTGATCTCCAAAACAATCAATCAATAAGATTACTTAACAACATCCAAACATCTGGAACTCACAGTCATGATTCAGTCAGACCTGAACACAGACATGAAAACACAGTAAATAAACCTCCATAAATCTGATTAGAGATCAGAGAAAGAAGAAGCTCCTCAGTCAGTGATCAGTGACAGCTGTCACTACATCAATGGTTCATACAGACAGGAAGTTAAAATAGATCATTCACTACACTTCATCTTACAAAATGTAATGTGTTGTTGCACTAAAGTTGAAGCCCACAGTTTAACTCACTGTATCTATGGCAACATATTTCCTGTTTGTTGGAAAAGTTTAGTTTATATCTGTTCTGTTATCAGAAGAGTTGCTATCACTGCATGATTGAGTTCATTTTGAGCAGATTTACTGAGTGAAGTTGTGTTGCTTAAACTTTGAACTACACATCCCTTTGGGTGAGCCACTCTAAAACAGGAGGTGACCTTGCGAGTTACATGTTGGAGGTCCTTATATTTCCTTTTTATGCAAAAAAGTCAGTGTCTCTTCTACTTGTTCTGACTTTTTAGTTGTAAAACTTAAAAAAGTTTGTTCATTTAATCTTTGAAATTGAGCTGGATGCAACGTGCAAAAACACCAGGGAGGTCCTTTAAGCTACCCCCATGTTAAGACTGTATTGGCTCATCCCACCATAATCAACATGCATAATGTTTAGAAGATGAAAACCAAGACACGCAGACAGTGTGATAAAAGGACATCAGTTTATTGAGCCAGTTGGAGCATTTAACCTCAGCGTAGTGTTTGGTTCAAAGTGGCCATAAATGAGATGTACAGTAACAGGTCACAACAGACTCTTCTCTATACTTACACCACAGGTGTTGGTGCTCCTTATCTATTTAAGGAGGCAGGACAGGGTTTATTCAGCTACAGTGATCCAGCACTTGTTAGGTGTGCTGGTTACTCATAGAAAAATAGTCAGCGTTAATATCACTGCAATAAAAGCTCCATATAAGCAAACAATGAATAGAAGGCAACAAAGAGTTCTTCTGGGGACTCCGTCTGTTAATAGAAATTTGGTGGAATAGAAAAAAACACAAGATAGTTACATTCTGTCTAAGGAAGTCTGTAGCTGCTAACATTAAAACAAAACCTCCATTTGTGTGCATGTGTGAATTAAATACAATTACAATTTCAAAGGTTGAAAATATTTCAATACTGACAGCATTACAGAGAAACCATTTTCAGGACACCATTCAGAACACCATCATAATGAGGACACTGTGCAATGACCCAGTTTAAGAGGTTTTCATTTTTAGTGAAATTAAAACCTCTCTTAACAGCAGTGCAGGCATCTTGTTCAAATGACCATGAAAAAGACCTTTTACATTTTATTTCATTAGTAACAATAAAAATCAAATGCAACTAATGATTGACTGCCAGCTATTTTCTTGATTGTTTGGTCTATGACTAAAAAAATACGGAGAAAAAACCTGTCACAGTTTTCTAGAGCCTTAGGTGTCATCTGCATATTATTTGTTCGGGTTAATATCACATCAAAACAGACTACTGACAACCTGGAACTAGAAAATGTTTTGGCCTTTTGGTTAGAAAAAAATAATTCAGTCAATCGAGTTTGTAGTTTAATATTTGCACTGAGGTTACACACTGTCTGCCACCTCACTCATTTTCACTTCTTTGTGGCGGTGTTATCTTTAGGAGTGTACTGAAAATGTTTTGATTATAATTTTGACCAGTTATGTGTTTTTATTCTAATGTTATGTATATGTGCTCACAAATGGACAATCACATTTCAATTAAAGTATTTGGTTACAATATTGTCAGCCTCAGACTTCCACATCTAACAGGCTGTTACACAGATAAGCAATAATAATGACCTAGAATCCATTTCTTTGTTGACAAACGGATTATCAGCACATCAAATAGAAAAATTGTCATACAACATACAAGAGTATTGACAGCAAAACATGCCACTGTGCACTAAAACCACATAAGATGTTTTGTCTCTCCATTTTTGTGCCTTTAAAGTGAAAGTATGACAGGAAGTAAAAAGATACTTGTAGTGAATGAGTGTAGCCTATATCCCCAGTAAAGTGTAAAACAAACAAAATCATTGCACAGAATGACATAAGGCAAAATACAAGTGTGCACAGAGAACACATTAAAATGTGCTGCTGGTATTAATGTGTCAATAGTGAAAATCTCTACGCAGATACCTCCTACAACAACGATAGTACTGTGTTCTTGAGGGGTACATGTTTGTGAAATCTCAATAGAAATGAATGTGGTAACTTGTCGTAAGTTCAATGTGTGAAAATATATATAGTACAAAACGATGAACATTTGATTTATGGTTGAGAGCAAACAGCAACCATCACAGCCGAGTGCTGAGGCCACGACCATGGCTATTAGAGTCTCGTTCTCAATTTGTTGAGAATTTTATTTTGACGAATGAAAAATTGAGGTCACTGCTGGGTTACGGAGATCTTATGGCTTTAATACAGTAGAACTGTGTGTGCGCCAGGTGATTCAAAAATTCAGATTTTCACTCGACACACTGTGTTTCCAAACTCAGTGTGTCGAGTTGCTAGAACCACGATGTGTGAATTCACTGGTCAAGGTTGAACAGGAGCATGCTTCAATTTGTCTGTTGCACAAGCTTCATTAGTTAAAGTTAAAGATGGGTTGAATATTTGCGGGGGGGTGGGGGTGGGGGTAATGTGACCGTACCTTCACTGACAAAGATGGTGGCAAAAGACAAAATCGAAAGAAACGACAGGATTGACTTTCTTTCAAAGTTGACTCCACTGAGAGTGAGCATGAGTCTGAACAGAGAAAATATCAGGTGCTGCTGGGAGTGTGAGTCTCCGTTTGCTGTATTATAGAGCTGACTTTCATGGGATATTCTGTGATATTCTGGTAGCAGTAAGGATTGTCTGAACCTCTGCCCTTGCCTGAAGACTCCTCTGTCCTCAAACACTGCTTATTCCTATCCCCTACAATGTTTTCATTTAACCACAGCTTTTGGTTTTATTACTTCAGACTGTGTATTCAGTTGTTTTAGGTTCAAATTTGATTATTTCCGCTCACTCAGAATCACCTGGTCTGAACAGGGCAACTGTCTTATGGTGAATCATGAGAAAAGTATCCCCATAGTTTTCCCGAAATACTGTGAATCTGTCTCTATTTTGATTTCACAAGAACTTCCTGACCTTTCTTGGACCCCATTTTTCCTGAACCCAATTACAGTAGTGATATACTTTTTGATACTAAACTCTGAATAGGTATCAATGTCAACACTCTAGTAATGACATGAAGATCAAGTGAGGACAGACATCTATAAAATGCAGATCAATAGTGTTGAACATAAAGTGACTTAAGTACAACTTGTATGAGTTTGTAATGAATGTGCAATACAATAATTAAGTCACACTGCAGAGCACAGTGGTGAAGTGAAACAGTCTCTCTGTGTGTTGTCCCACTGTCGTGATGTCCAACACCTGGACACAGTCTGATACAGCAGCTTCTCAGCATCTGTGGAAAAGACACAAGTCTCTTAATAAACAGCTGATCAAGTCCAACAGGTCAAGAGGGGAGCAGTCAGACGTCGAGACGGGCTGGAAACAAACCTCCAGGTTGTTTTTAGAAGACAAAACAAAAATAAATGGTACAATTATTACCCAATCTGTTGTAAGCATCCAGTTCACCTGCTTCTCCTCTGACCTGCACTGTAGTGCTGTGCACAGTTTTCCTGTTTAGTGATGGATTATTAGCAGCATTTCAGGTGCTAACATTTGTTTCCAACCTTTCCAATCCTCTGACTGTTCGTGGTCATTGACCTGGGGTCAGTTTCACAAAGATGCTTTAGCCTGGTCTGTAGTGTTGGTCCAGTCATAGATCAGTCTAATGTTAGTCAGACTGTTTCACAAATATAAAGACTGACTCATTTTTAGCCAAAAACATTAGACACCTTACCCCTTACTAGACCAACTCAGGTCTAAGACCAATGTTACCATGGTAACAATCAATGACACTTTACTGACTAGTAACATCCAACAACAGAAAACATGTTTCATAACTTGAGCAATGAGAAGAGAAAGCGTTTTTAGAGGTCACAGTGATTTTTTTTTTTCAAAACATATTTACATTTTTTCTGTTCTACTTTTTTTGTTTCATTCTTATTTTCATTGTTTCACTCTTCGCTGAATTTCCAAAGTAAAACTCTCCCAAAAGCAAAAAACATTTTCTTCTGGGGTAATTGGAGCTCAGAGGTTGGATGTGGTTCCTTGGTCAGCCATTTCGTAATCTTGAAAATAATCTTAATTTACCTAGAATTCATTGCACCACAGTCTGACTAAAGATAGTCAAGAACTAAACTGCTTTGTGCAACAGATGAATTAAGACTCAGTCTATCTGAAGTCTGACTGTTTGTTCTATCTAAAACACAGTCTGTCTTGGTGGTTGGTTGTCCCACATAATGGACACTGATGGTACATTAATCTGTGAACTGATTAAAAAAACTAGTGGGAGCTCAGATGCTTCAGGCAAATCAAACTAATGATCTGTGGCTCCCAGATGAATCCTTGTATTCTCTGTCTGTGGCTGCAGCTGGTTTCACACTACTAAGGGAATGTCACACTCATTTTTCTATGGTAACAGGATCAGAATAGATTGTAAGATGACATAAACCAGATACCTTAGATAAATGGTGATTAAACTGTGTTTCTAAATGGCCTTAAACCAGCTAACATACACCGATACGGACATATCTGCAATAAGTTCATTTTGGCCAATATATTTCTAATTTATCAGTTTAACTCTGGTAAGTGTAGCTGTCTGATCCATGTGCTGGAGTAGACATGTAAAGTAGCACAAAATGGAAACACTAAATTGTACTTACAGTAACTGCTTAAATGTACTTACTTAGTTACATATATTTACAAAATGTCTAATGGTCCACAAAGACCAACAAATAAACAAAAAAAAAAACAAAAAGACAAGTTAGTCAATCGCAGAAACCCTGTTCAGAATTCATACACATTTTCATTACATTCTTTGTGGACGAAATATGCAATTTCTTTTTCTCTCACTACAACTGTCCATGACGAGGGACCTGCAACTCATTAGTCGTAGCTCATCCATCTTCATGAGGCGCTTACATTTTGGTTTGGGAGGTTTTGTGATTTCACTTTAGTATATACAAAACACTAATCCAACCTGTCAGCGAAGAAAGCTTTGATGAGGTGGTAAAATGTAGGGGTGAAGGGCTTACCTGAAGTTTAATTTGTCTTCACCTTGTCCTGAACATACACAGGTTTTTCTTTATGTTCCCTACTGTCTGTCATTTCATCAGTGTCCTTTCCCTCCTTGTCCTCTTCTTTTTCTTCCTCCACGCCCATTATCACACTCTGTCGAACACTGACAGAGATCACCACTGCCTGTATGATGCCATAGATCAACGCAAACTGAGGGAGATACTCTTGGATCAACCAGAGTAATCCTGCCATTCCAACTGTGGAGACAAAAAACATCGCCATCCCATGAAACCAAAGCCTCAGCGCTCCTTGGACCCCCAACACCTCCAGGATCAGCTTGGCAGGAGGGGACACAGTCCACAGGAAACCAACAACAAACAGATCAAACAAGTGGCGGAGGAAGTTGAAACAGATCTCGTAGTGTTCTGGTAGGATCTCCACCTTCCAGCTGCGTGCAAAGAGTCGAAAAGGAGATGTCAGCTGAGACGAAGGAGGTGTAGGAGACGGAGGAGGTGTTCTGTAGTCAGAAAAGTCCCCATCAATATCATGGTCCCATGCACCTCCACTCCTTTGTCTTAGTCTGCTTGTCTCTGTTTTCCTTGGCCACAAAAAGTAAGAAGTTGGGAGAAATTTATTCCACCATCTAGAAACTTCTGAATCTACCATGGTCTCCCGTTTCCTTGTGCAGAGATCTTCAATTTCCATGGGCTGAAGCTTCTCCTGCGCCTCCCAGAACTCCTCTACTGGACTACTTTGGTCACGTTGACGTCTCCACCCTCCCCAGATCCAAGATGTCCACCCCCTGAAGCCCTGGCTGCCACAGTCATGCTTCTTGCCCTCAGCCATAACCACTGTGGTATTTTCGGACATGGTACTACTGCCCCATGAGCGCACCCACCCCAGTGCTCTGCCTAGCACAGCTGCCATTCTTTATTGCTGAGCTTGTTGGAGTTTTAGTAAAATCAGCACACACTCAGTTCTCAGCTCTTCTTGCCTTGATTGGCTGGGTAGCACTGCATGTACTGCCAGAGCAGTTGTGAAGTTGTAATACTTGTTCACAAGGATCCAGGCTGGGGCAAAGGGACGTCCTCAGGCCACAGACACACCTGTGGGTGTGTTTAACTTCTTGTCTACATGTCTTTGGTTTAACCTGGCAACCTTTGAAGCTGTCAACGTTGCTTTCAATAACTCAGCATTACGTTCAGATATGCTCAAAAAGCTAGCACCGGCTAGCTACAAGTCAGCCGTTTGACCTGACCAAGCCTTCAGCTCAACGTCAGCTAACTAACATTACCCTTAGGGCTTCACAAACTTATCTTTTTCTGTGTACTGAGACAAATTGCTTCAGTCTTCATACCTACAATAAAAGAAAAAAAAGAAAAGACATTTACAGTTGGTTCAAGCATGAAATCTTACTTCCACTTCCACGTCAACAACAATGCGAGTTAGCGGGTCTTGGCAATTGTCTTAGCTAACCTTTAAGGCTTTTTAATATCAGGTGAAATTCGTTAGCAACTAACGTGAGCTGGTTTAACGTTAGTTCACGAATTTCATCAAGATATGTTTCCAATTTTCGGTGTCTCTAATTTACAGGAGCTAATCTGAAAATGTATAAATTGTCACCTTCGGCGATGTTAGCTACAGTTCTTCTGCCAGGTCGTAGCTAGCACTCCTGTTAGCGTCAAAAAACTCGACACGCAGACCAACTTCCTCAACTTCTGGATGTTGTGTTCCAAACACACCAACGTGTTTATCTTTACCATTTGGAATAGAAAGTCGGCTTCCGGTCAAAACTGACGATAAGTACTGTTAACAATTATGCTAATTGTCAAGAAGCCACAACGGAGGTACGCCTGCGAGGTCGACTGAAGCGGTTACCTAATTACGCGATGAATATGGTCTTCCTGTGCGGTTTCAACCTTCAAAATAAAACTATGGTTTACCAACTCCAGTTCATGCTATGGCCTTTATACTGGAATTTGCCCTTTTCAAAAACTTTCCACAATTACTAGCGTTTAGTAATACGTCTTTATCCGTAAAACGTACTTCACGTATTCGACTCATCACAACATTCCTATATTTTTTATGTGTATTGGATGATTCAGGCATTGTCCAAGCAGCATTATGCAACAGGACAAGATGGTGTAAATTCAACTTCAATTTCGTCTAAAGCAATGATGGATCATGATTAGTCATTGGCTGCAATGCAACTACTGTTTTTACATGAGTGCAGGGGACTACAACAAAGAAATAGTCAGCGACCCCGGATTGTATAGTACACAGCAGGTCATTACATGTCAAAAGCAGCAGTCAGCCTCTTGTGATTTTATTGTAATCAATCTGCAACCAGTGGGTAGGTGGGTGGGTGGGGCGGGCAAAAGAGAGAAGCTTTGAGTCTGTGTCAGCCATTTTATTTGACATTTCCTTACATCTGTACATTCAAACCATTATAAACGCTGGAGAAAAGCTTTGTATAATCAAGACTACTTAGAAGCTCAAGGCCCCTTCAAATGAATGGTGGCAATGTATCTTATGACTCTTAGGAATGCTTCCATTTCCTGGATGACTTGATATTGTCCACCGTAGAAGCTTGGAGCAGTCCCAGCTCACAAGTTGCAGCAACTGTAAAAAGACATTAAATATTTAATTAAAAAAAAAAAAAGGGGTTGACATCTCAGCATCACTCATCCTACAGAAAAAGTCTTGGTGTGTAAAACTCTGCAAAGCCTGTCAATACCAACCTGGTCCATTTACTGTGTTCTGAATGTCTTCCAGTCTGGGCTGCCAGTCATACCTGAAAAAGATATGAATCAGTAATTTCACCCCGTTTGGCTTCCTAAAACTCAACAGAAGCTCCAGTCTGAGTGTCTCAGTGCGCTGCGAGTAAACTTCACTTGAGATCAGTCGAACCGAATCACTGCATCATCATAGAGCAGACTCAGATACAAGAGCTCCAGGATAAAAGCCCCTCTTAAGCCACATTTAGATGGTCTTGATTCATCAAGAAGGTTGGGTAATTTGAATATCAAATGCAATTATGTTATTTTAGCTAGCATAGTCCCAGATACACTTTTTTTGGTGCATATCATGATCATAAAAGTCCTGTCCAGAGAGACAGTCTCATTTAAACACGTGACATCACGCACATGATTTAAATCCCGAGACAAGATTACCCACCTCACCCTGACAAATTAATCCCATCCTAATGGGGCTCTACTTTCAGAGAAGTTGGTACTTACAGCTGCAGGTCTGTCACATCAACTCCTCTGTCAGTGTGTGGACGAGCTACAAGACAAAAACTGAGTCATCAATACAGACAAGGGAAAAAAATAAATTTAAAAAAAAGTTCAGGGACCACACCAGAGTTTGGCTGTTTTACCCCAGTTACTGCAACCAGTTAGTTAATCATCATTACACTGAAGTGATGCAGCACAAACTATAACTCCATCTGTCTTTATATTTGTGTCACCATACAATAATGCTGCTGCTTTAATAAAGGCAGGCATAATGGAATGGCCAAACAGTTTCATGGTGATGTGCAATAAGTCTACATGAGTCCCAGTACATAGGTTAAAACTATGCATACCTCTGGTGTGGTTATGTGGTCAGTGCACTGTGAAGACAACTTCATGCTTTTCTCAGAGACTCTAGTCTATGAAATCATCATTCCACATAAGCACACAAAACAGATGCTTTTAGATCCAACACTTACCTAGAAGAGCAGGCTCCATCCCATCCCCCCCTAGTGTGGATGCCTGTGAGTACAAGGAAAACCGTATTAGAACCAGTTCTGAACCTCACAATGTGTACTGAGAACCAGTTCTATACATGCTCAGTGCACTGTGAAAGAGCTTCATGGTATAATCAGAGACTCTAGTCTTGTGAATCATCACAGCAGCATGCTGGTTTTCACAGCCTACCCATCAGCAGCTTCCCATGCTCACACTCACCATCAGCTCATGGCTGTAGACTTCACTCGCAGCAGGACTCCAGGACTAATCAGGGGAATCAAACTGCTCCCTCAGAGCTGAGGAGCCTCAGGTGACCACTGTGTCCATTTCAGTGTGATCTGAAATATTTCCATTATACAGTCAAGTTTTTGTATGCTGTTAATATTTAATATTTGTGCAAGTTTCTCTTTGTCAGACACTTGTGTAGCTATGAGTGGGGGCACTGAGATCCTTGCATACACATTTTTCAGGTATTTAAGCCATTTTATAATATTTGAACAGGCCCTCACGCTGTCCATGCAGATAAAATGAAAAGAATTTTGAAAGTAAAATGATACAATTTAAAAAATGAAATACTTTTCAGCTAGGATTGTGAAATATGCAAAAAAAAAAAAAAAAATCATATGCTCATTTTTGCAGATGATGCCATTTCAGTTGGTATGGTTGTTTCCTCTCCTTTCCATTTCATTTTCACTGACAATAAAAATGATTCCTGTTGGTCTTGCACCAAACTAACATTTTTCTTTGTCTGGAGAATGGGATTTGTAGGCCGGGGCGTCTCTGTTGCACCACAACACTTATGCCACTAACTATGCATGCGACACATTTTCCCTCTAATGAAACAAAAATAGCTTCTGACATTTTTCACAGGTTGTGATTTGGGTATCGCACTTGGCCATATTGAGATTTTGATTATATTGGGATTAATTCTGCAACCCAAACTAGAGCCCTGCAGATGGTGCAATAACCTTACAAATACCAGGGTATGTACACACTGGGAGCTCATATACAACAGGCATCTTCACTTGTTTTAAGATAAAGAAATACACTTCTCACTGTAAAAACCTGTATTTGTATATTATTTTAATTGCAGTAATTTCACCATTATCAAAATTATTTTGCCACCCACAGTCTGAGAAGACTAATCATATAGCATCTATGTGTTATTTTAGATTTTATATTAAAACTCAGTTGCATCCGATGAAAAACGTGGTGCAATTTTCTAAAAGCTAAAGCTGCTAAAGCTGCTAAAGCTTCATCTCTTTCTACAGCCCCAAAATCTATAGACCACTCACTTCATCCATCTCTAAACCTGGATCTCCGGGTCTTCCTCTGCAGATTCAACTCAGCAGATCCACCAAGGAAATACATCCTCGGCTCTCCTGGGGAAACAAAGATCGCAGGTCAGGCCAGGTCTGTACTCCTCCATTACAGTGCAGGTTTGTCACCACGTGGAGCACATAAGAACCAGAATGACGGTGCTGTTCACGCCACTTCCTCTGCAGGCCAACGCCTCAGCTTTAAAGTTTAGATTTTCGAACAGACTCAAAGTGTATCACATTTACCTTCCGTACTTTCCAAGCAAGAATTTGAAGTTTAATTTAACTTCGCGTCTCCGTCCAACCAGCCAGGACCGCGCGCCATCAACCAGAGGATGAACACGAGTCCGCCCCTGGATTATATACCAGAGGGCCTTCACAGTATCACGTGCTTTTGGTGTCCTGAATACCGCCTGTTTTTGACGCTCACCAAAATGCATAGTACAGATATGTGATATGATTATACAGCAAATACCACGGATTAAAAGTACATTTTAAGAAAGGGGAAGAAAAACAACACCTTAACACATCCTATATTAAGGACCATAAAATTAACATTAATAAATAATTACAATGGAGGTATATCAGTTTCCTTTTAAGGCACATTTTTAGATAGCTTTGAAGAAATTTTAACAAAATAAATAATGTGTCATTTGAATTTATAAAATGTTCATCTAAGGAAAATTCAGGATGATTTTCCAAAATTAAGATATCTATGGTTAATAAATAACAATAATAATAATAATAAATATTTCAAGGTAGGCTAATCAAGGACACCTTACAACACACAGTAAAAGAAATAAAATAGCAAGTACAAGGCATAGAATACAAAATAATTAAAAATGATTATGATTGCATTGATGAAACTGGTCTTTACAGCTAAGATTTAGGGGAAATAAAATAGTTTATACAAACCCAAGGCACAATCTATTCTGTGGTAATTCCAAAAAAAGCTTTCCTTGGTCAGAGATGGATATAGCTTTGTAGATAAAAAAAAATGCAATAACAAATTTTTACCCTCACCATCCTCACTTCAAGTTGTTTTCCATCAAGAGGAAACAAATGTTCCCGAGAATACACCGGCAATTTTCTAATACAGGTAAGAACCAGTTTCAGCTCTTTTCCAGTCCCACCTAAAGTGAAAGAAATTCATTTTAAGATATTTAACGAGATTTTTCCTGTAATGACCTCTTACACCAAAAATTTAATGTAGATTTTAATCTACTAATCTTCTAATTCCAACACTGAGACCATAGAACATCAGTTTTTTTATATTGTAATTTAACTTGGACCCTTTGGGAGGCTTTCCAGTATTGGATAACATGCAATAATCACAATTTTCTAACATATAAAAATATAAAGTTTGGTCTCCAAATAGAAAACAAAAAAAAAAAATGGAATTTGTGAATAATAATTTCATTCTTTTAGCAAAATACTTGTTTTTTTTGTTTTTTTTTAAATGCATTTATATTTTAAAAAAACAAACAAACAACCCACATATATGCACTTTAATACCTGACAGATTATTTTGTCCCTTTATTTTTCTAGTTTTTATTTTTATTTTAATTTAATATTTTTTTTCGTTTATTAAGTTCATTATTTTTCTTTAGTTTTTCTAATTATTAATTTATTCGTTTTTTTCTGACCTATAATGTTCTTATTCTTAACAATGCTTGCTTAGTTGTTTGCATTGTTTCTGTATTTACCCTGAGTGTGATTGTAATAAAAGATTGCCAATTTACGTAAGGCACCTAGCTGCAGTGAATGAACTACAAGTACCACCCATCATCGGGCCTTTTAGGGGTACCAGGTTCACATGGGCTGGAAGGGAAATCCGCATTTTAAGTACGACGCCCTCTACGGGATACACAGCTCGTATCTGGCAACACACACACACACGCGCACACACACACATACATATAACCCACTCACGGCTGTCGTCACTGAGGTCAGGTAGACGGAGCGAAGATGGCGACCGCCTACGAGAGATACAATCTGTAAGTACATATAATATGGCTAATCGTTCTCTAAAATCCATTTTCTTATTTCCACGTCTGTCAAAAGACGGATATGAGGCGGCGGTTCTGAGCGGGTTAGCCGGTAGTTGGAGTTAGCGGCGGGTTAGATGACACAGCAGCTGAAGTTCGCTGACGGGCTCGGCCGGTAGAGCAAGAACCGGCCAAGTTTCACTCCGCACTCATTCATTATGAAGAATATACATTGGCACCGTGATGCAGAGTCGGCAGGAGGTGTGTGCGGCTGTCAGCGTTGGCCAACAGGGAGTTGGTTAGTGTGAACAGGGAGGCAGAAAGTTAGTTAACCTAGCTAGCAGCAGCAGGGTTGTTGACGGGTCTGTCGTCAGTTTTACCATACCGGGGTCTGTTGGAGACTCCATTCAACCAGCCTGCCCCCTCTGTCCTCTATAACTTTCATGGTAGTTGACACAGCTCTGTGTACTTTCCCAGACACACCCTGGTTGATCCCTCATTCACAGTGCGGGCTGTCCAGTCCTACCAGTCCTTCCTGCCACCTGTACTGTGTCAGCCTATCTTGACAGTTGTAGTTAGTGAGGATGAGGAGTGTTCCTCGTCCTCTGCATGCTGACATGGTGGGTTTTTAAGCGCCAGATACAAGTTTAAATAAAGAGGTTTGTACTACTCCAGCTGAAACATACAGGCATTGTGGAGATGCCTTTGAAACAACGTGTAGACTATAGAACACATAGATTAAAGCTCCATATATTTTCCTCTTCTTCTGTGTTTTATTTGAAGTGTTGATGCATAAGAAGATATATTTGTGGTTTTAAGAACCAAAAACCATCTCTGTAGTTTTACATCTCCCCTCTCAGCCTTCTCTCTGGAGCTCTAGTAACAACAGCTCAGTGGTTGAGTGTTTTCTGAGTGATACAATAAAAATGTAACAGATTTCAGGTAAACACTCAAAGAAACCAAATCCTGCAAGGATGGATGGTGGGCTCAGGTGGGCAGGGCTTGGGGCGTGGCTGAGAGCAAAGATATAACTCTATAACAGAAGAACACATTAGTGCCAATGGGAAGAAATGGTCTACACTTCCTGTCTCTTAAGTGGGCGTGGTCGTGATTGCTTGTTGATGTCAAAACATAACAACACAATATAACACTAATATATTATGAGATTGCACTTGATTTTGCTGCTTGTTTTTATTTGCTAGTTTAATATCTGATCAACCAAGAATAAAATCATATCAGTCTAATTATACTCTGTTTTCCCTTCAAAAACAGTTCAATATTAATAAAAAATAATAGCAATATCAAGCAAATAATCTCAAGTTTTATTTCAGCTTTAACTAACCTCTAAACTTGTGTGGCTGGAAAGCGATGTCGGCAGCTGTACTGCAGCAGTGAGACTAGAACCAGAACCAACAGAGAAGAGAGATCTGTGTTGTCAGATCTCTGAGTTTGTTGCTGAGACACAAACAGGTCTCGAACAAAGTTCATTTTCTACTGATCGGCTACTGGCGGAGAGGTTGAGACACTCACCTGACAGAGTTACAGGAGATTATTGTAAATGCGCCATCTCTTTTCTCAAGTATCTCTGCTGAGAGTGGTGACTTCTTTGTTGTGACATCACAAATTTCCAGAAGTCCTGACGACTGGGTTTAAGGCTCAGTTTCTGAATACAGGCTGTGTGCATTTCTCTGTGGACTGAGCGCTTTGATACTTTCACAGTATTAATATAGAACCTAGACCTGCTTTATAATCAAACAACACATGGACATCTACCTATACTATATGGGACCTTTTTAGGTAGGTGAATTAATGTATAACTTTAACCTAAGATTGATGTCCCCTTCTTCAGCCTGTTTGATTGAAGAGGTAAAACTTTCCAGTATTTGACACTAAAAAGTAATAATTTTTAGAAAAGTCAGAAAAACACATAATTTGTTTGGTGAAAATATGTTTTATTTATCATATTAGTCATTTAACTTGCTGTGTCATGGGGGTTCTGGGTTCCCCAGGTCTCTACTAGGGATGGGCACTTGAAGAAATTTCCTTGATCAATCATCAGGAAAATTACTGTCAAATAATTGATTCATTATACATTTTTTATATTAAAAAATGCCTGTGGCAGAAAATACACAAAAAGCATATTTTTCCTCAATGAAATCTTCATTCCAAGAAGACCGTATACATTGTTCTCTGTTGAAAATTTAAATTGCGCCCCGGGCTGGTTGCTCCCACGTAGTGAAATTCATTGCATTGCTTCAAGACACACTACACAACACAATCTCGTTGATACACACGTTAGATCAATCAGATTGCGTGTGATCGACAAAATTCTTAACGATCAATTATCCATCATCGAATAATCATGCCCACCCCTAGTCTCTACCATACTAATATGTCTGCCTTTCAAATTGCGTTGCAGTCAGCCATTGACTTACACTCATTTTATTATTGTGTGTTGATCATTTTGAGAAGTCTTGAAACTTGATACATTCCAGTGAAGATCGTGTGTAGTTTTGGAAATTTCAAACTGCTGTTATTATTACATGATGATGCATTGCACAGTTTTTAATTGTGGATGGTGACCAAGCACAAGGTTTCAAGTCACTGCAAGTTGTTTTTTTATGCTCCACTGAAATGAATGAAAACCAGCAGTTATTTTAATACAGGAAAAAACAGCACAGTAGTAATGTTAAAGTAAAGCGCAGTTGCGGCAGTAACAGTTATTATTTCGACTTTGTGTTGGTGTAGCACAGGCATGTTTAGTGTGTCTAGATTACTTAAGGGCAACAATAGAGTGTTTGTGTGGCTTTGTCACCAGTGCAGCAGCTGAGTGTTTCGCTACATCACCCTGAGCTCCACTGAGGTCACATTTTTGTGTAGCAGGGATTTAAATCTGTGTTACTCAAACTTTTGCTGCTCCAGCTAACATATCAAATCAAGCGGCTTTATCAGAACGTGTCTGCCGTATTTAATATTTAACAATCTCTCTCAATTGACTTTCTGTTTCTTTTTGCTTATTCCACTACCTGCATTTTGGGTGGGACGTAAGAGCCCTATAATTGCTAATGTCACTGACTGACTGATAATATTTCCACCACTGGTCAGTGGAGTGCCGATCCGCAGCCTCCTGAGCTGCTCTGGTTTCCCGGCTGCTCTGTTACCGCAGGGAAGAGGAGGAGCACTTCCAATACACTGAGCCTCATCTCCATTTAAGCAAATAAACTACATTCATTACATGTACTAAAGGAGACAGAGGAATAACTAAACATAAGACACACTAAGCAGAGAGTGCAGGAGAGAGGGAGAATCTTCATACTTACCGCTATGACCAACTCTACATCTCAAACAGAGGGAGTTAGACGTAAAGACCTGCCTCTAATAAGTCTTTTACGTTCTTGAGTTGAAGTAAACAAAGAATAAACTATTGTGGATCCAGACGGAGGCTGTGCTCTGTGTGAGAGACTAAATAAGAAAGATCTTATAGAGATAGCCCTGGTTGCTCACCTGGTGGAGTGCGTGGACTTAGTCTCTCTCTCTCTCTCTCTCTCTTCTCACTTTATTCAGTAGTTTGACAGTGGAGACAGACATGAGGAAATGTGGTGAGAGTGTGAGGGCTGTTGTGATTACTGTACATGGTTTGCTCTACGCAGATGATCATGGGTTTAGTGTATTATGTAATTGTTCCCCACAAGAGAAAGAGACCTCCACAGGGGTGTCAGATTCACAGTTGACTACAAAGCTGCACGTATCTGTAGCTTAGCAGTAATAAGACATATCAAACCGTGCGCACACACACACACACATTCATGCAATTTCCCTTTAGAAATCAATCTACTTGAAAATTTGTGCACTTCGGCAAGCCTCAAGCTCCACCCAAAACACTCCCACAATTAACCTTAAATTGTGAATTAAAATCCCTCATGGATATTGATCTGCATTTTGTTCCTGTGGAGAATAGAGGCAGCGTTACACACAAAACACAGTGTGAGGCTGACGGCTGCAGCAGCTGTTAATGTGTGTGTGAGCGCTGATGAAATATTGAGCAGAACTTGATCAGAGTTGGTTCATATCTTTTACATTTGGACGCAGCTTATGGAATAGCTCTGGCTCACTCGCACAAGCAGGTCTGAATGTTTATGATGAAGTGGATCAATAAGTGACGTATGATATGAGAGGCTTCAGTTCAACACCTCACCCTCTGTGTCGCCAATCTTTCCTGTCTCTAAAATGTTCGTACGCATGGGTCACGCTTTCAGGTGCACACATTCTCCTGTCAAGTTTGTGTTTATAGATCCCAACTTGAGCGTGGGAAGTGGTGTATGCATCTTTCAGGCACTTACTTGTGCAAATGATACAGTTATAAATGAGGCCCCTGGAGACTGGGGGGGGGGGGGGGGGGGGGCAGATTGAATCCATGGATTCGGACTCTGACTCCACCATCTGCTGCCTCAGCACAAATCCACATCCATCAGACCAGGTCTTCAACTGTCCAGTGCTGGTGAGTCTGTGGCCACTGCAGCCTCAGGTTTCTGGTCTGGGCGACAGGAAGTAGAACCTGACGTGGTCTGTTGTAGTCCATCCACCTCAAGGTTGGAGATCAGCAGTTTGAGAAACACTCAAACCAGCCCATCTGACACCAACAATCGAAGTCACTGAGATCACATTTTGTCCTCATTCTGATGTTCGATGTGAACATTGACTGAAGCTCCTGATTTGTACCCGCATGATGCTGCCATGTGATTGGCTGATTGGATTATTGCATGAATAAGCAGGTGTACAGGTGTGCCTAATGATGAAGTACTGAGTGAGTGTGCACCTTATCATGGTTCCAGTTCATTTCACACAGTTGGGCTCCTTCCTTGTCAAGAAGGCCTTTTGAAACCATCTTCAGTGTCTCTCTTCAGACCATCTCAGCAGGGCGGATATGATGATCCGTCCAGGACTCTCTGCTCACACCGCCCCCTCAGGACCTCCAAAACATCAAATGCTTAGCTTGTATTTTGATCCTCTTTTAATCCCACTGTGATGGCAGACTTTGAGCCTCAGGCTGTGACCTAATCACAGAGGATATGTTTGGGAGTGTCACTGCACCTTGCGTTTTTGGGGTAGTGTGCTTTGAAGCGCTCCAGATTAAACATGTCTTAATTTGAGAACCCCAGTGGCCCAGGGGTTAAGCTGCAACGTCCACTGTTTGACTCCTAGTCGGTGCAGCGTCACTGCACCTCATACCCCTGCCTCTCCACACCTTTCCTGTCTCGTGGATAAGAACCCTAACCCTAGGAATCCAACCCTCTGTGTATATAGAAAGTCTCAGATACACTTTTCAATGAAAAATGGATGCAAAAACAAAATTGTTGAATTTATTTTTGTTCAGTATACTTAGGGAATATAGAGAAATGGATAAGAAAACAGGGAAGCATACACATACTATGATGAAATATGTTTTTAAAGTCAGGGGAAATTATAAATAAAGGCTGGCTCCCTTTGCATTTGAGGTAAATGAAGTCTACCATTTTCTTGTCTCTCTTTACTTTGGTTCAGTCTATTGACCTAGAACTAATTAAACAGCTTGTAAGTGGTCAAACTGGATTGCAGATCAGTCAGTCATGCTCCTTGCATCGTTTGACCTCTCGCTGTTGTGGCTGCTGCCACACTAGCAGCTGACATGTTTTGGAGCATGAGAACATTAGCATCCTGAGCTACATCTGTACATTGACACTGAGATGTTCGGTGAAGCTGATGAAACATTTGCAAGCTACAGGAGCAAGCTTTTAATCAGCTTTAATATCTTCTCTGTTCTTTCCCAGGCACACCACCCCAGAGAAGTTCTTCATCGAGGCCTGCGATGAGGGGGCTGACGCTGTGCTGGCAATCGACAGGGTCTCAAATGAGATGACCCTCACAGGTAGAAAGTCTTCGAAAGTTTAAAGACATTGAGCATTACTGACATAAACAGACAAAACTGTTTAAGCTTTGGTTGAGACACACTATCTCAGCTGTCACCGCCTTTTGAAGCCTTTCTGTTGATCTTTGTTTTCACTCTCCACGTGTATTAGTAGAGGTTCAAAGTCGGTAATAGGTCATACAGTATATGCCGGTATATGTTTCATATTTACACATACATACATACATACATATATTATGTAGGTAGGTGTAGTTCTATTTATTTAAGTGCTGGAGCACACGTATGACGTACGTGCACTGTAACATTGCAGCTCGTTTCAAAGGTGATGTAACCGCTGTTCCTACGGTGACAAGTTCACATAGATCAGTCAACTATGATCACACAATCAAATGTTAAAGTGACTTTATGAACAGTTTCATCATGTTGAGAATCTGACGCAGCATCAGACAAACATCCAGCTCAGTAATATTAGACCATACCATGGATGTAGCAGCTAGTAATTAGCGTAGCATTCAGCAGCAGGCGAATGAACACAAGTAGTTTGTGTTTTGAATGATTTCACTTGTGTCGAGCAAATAATGCCACATTGGAAACATCCATTCAGAGGAAAAGCTGCAGTGCAGGCAGAGGTCAAGCTAAGCTAACAGGCTAGGCTATGAAAATGTGGCTACGCTAGCTTTCAATTTCAGCAGTACAAGCTGTCCAAGTGTAACTGACTCACTTTGTCATGTTTCTGTGTCAATGCATTACAAATAAAGAAACTGTCAGAAGAGTGAATGATGAATGTTTTTTTGCACACCTCCACATATTATCATTCACCACCTGAGTGGTACAGTACATGTTCTAGGACAGCTCAGAATGTCCCATCAGCGTGGTTCTTATGTCCCTGGAGCACTGACACGTTCCTCTTCCTATTTAAACAGACATTTACCTTTTTTAGATGAAAACCTGTCAATACACAGGGAAAAACTTTCACCTTTTTTTTGTAAATTGATCATTGATGGAATCGGACTGTGAAAAGAATATGTGGGGAACGTCAGTGAGCTTTCCCCAGTTGTCACATTAAACTCTACAACACTTTCATCATACAGTCATACGCTTCCTCTTTGTGCATCATATCATTCAAGACGTGATCTTTCTGCACATTATATTATGCCATTTTGTTTTCATGAAACTCCATGGTAGATTAATTTTCAAACGTCTTTTTGAACAAATAATCAATGCATCCTTATCAAGATAACATATAAGCATATGGGTTATTGATTGTTTTTGCCTTATCAATCTACCGTAGGTAAAAAGGATGTTCCTCCCTCAGCAGTCACCAGGCCTATATGTGGCATCATGGGAACCATTCGCCTGGTGGCAGGTAGGTTCCTCTGTGATACGACATGGTGTTGTCTTTGAAGCCTGTACAGTGAAACAGCTGTGACTGACCGCTCACACCGCACAGGGATGTACCTGATCGTCATCACCAGGAAGAGGAACGTGGGCAGCCTCCTGGGCCACGCCGTGTGGAAGGCAGTGGATTTTGATGTGATCTCTTACAAGAAGACAGTGCTGCACCTCTCGGAGATCCAGGTCAGCAACACTGCTCACTAGAACAGTTCACTCGTGTTAACAGCTTACACACTGCTGCAGATTCACCCTGTTTCCTGTTGATGGTGTTTTTACTGATAAGAAATCTTTTCCACACAGAGGCTTTTTAATGACTACCTGAAGTTAATGCTATTTCAAACATCCTGGCCCTGTCACACGTGAAAAGAAGAAGACCTTTGAACAGCTTAAGTTTTTGCTTACTCAGCAGCTCTCCTGTGCTTTTAGTGTAAACTGCTCCAGGACTTTCTGTACTGGACACAGTCAAATGAAAGTGATGTAGATTTTCTTTTGACTCTGGGTGGAACGAGAGTATTTCACAAAAAGTTGGCATGAAATCTTATATATGTCTTTGCAACATAGAATATTTATGTCTAAATAAGCAATAATGAAACTTTCAGGGAAACAAATATTCTTAGTTGTTATTTATTAAAGAGGACCGATTATGCTTTTCTGAGTTTTCCCTTTCCTATAGTGTGTTATATAGGTTTTTGTGCATGTAAATGGTCTCCAGAGTCACAAGGCTCAAAGTTCACACCAAAGGGAGAAACTCTGTCAGGGCAAAACCCAATTTTGCCTTGTTGGGGGTCCAGACATTACTTCCTTGACCTATTCACGTCAATATTCACTGCCCACCTGCAAGCTTGGCACGCCCCCACACAAGGCACAGCACTTAACTGATTGGTCAGTTTTTCACTTGAAGTGCCAGTGAAAAACGATGTCCAGAAGAAAAATAATGTCTTTTCGGAACATTGACGCATGTAAATGTATTTTATCAGACAGCAAGAATAAAAGGATGTGAACAGTAAAAATGGCCATAGTAGGTCCTCTTTAAGACGATCTTGCAGCAGGAAAGTTTAAATGATGTCATATAAAATCAGCTCAACTGAAACTACATTGTTGTGATGGGATCACACCAGCTGTGACGCCCATCAGCATGTTGACAGTCTGAGCCATGAGTACTCAGAAGTAATTAGTAAATTACTACACATAGTTTACACCGTGCTGTGTCAGGTGATCTAGAGATTAGATTTTTCACGTGACGTGCGGCTCCCAGCTAAAAAAGACAGAGAAAAGTTTAGATGTTTCAGTGTCTAGGCTGAATCTGAACATGTCATTGAAAAATGAAAAAATATAGATATATTTTTTAACCATTTTAGGAGCTGAATCTGGAGACAGTGATATTTTAGTGACCTTTCTGTCAAAAATAAAATAAAAAAAATGAAAGAAATTAATTAATAATGAAAAGAAATCCAACATTCCAGTAACCTGTAACCGAGCCGCATCACAGGTGACGTGTTCCTGATCTGAAACTACCAGTTTGTTGTTCTCATGACATTTGAGACAGCAGTCACTTATTTTTTCAGATTTTTTTTTTCTGCTCATTGAGGTTAATGACAGAGGTTGTGAATACTTTTGTGGTACTGTGTGATAGACCAGTAGACTATCACACTGCTGTGGTGAGTGGTTTGGAGATTGAGATGACTTGTGTGGGCGTCTCACGGGCGTCCACTCTCTGATTGAGACCTCATGCTTCAGTCGGTCTTTGCAGTCAGTGCTATCTTATTTCAGTGAAGCAGGCAGTGCATTATTAATCTGCTGCCGCTTCTATTCCTGGTGTACTAATTGAAAGATCAGTCGCAGCTGGAAACTATGTAATTCATGGTAAAACACTGTGTATGCAGTGTAGAAATAACAATGAGAAATGGGAAATGAGAAAACAATGAGAAGGTTGTAGAACAGAGTGTGTGGCTTTTACCGAGCAGATGATACTTACATTTTTCTCTTTTTGTATGGTAGTGACAGTACAAACTAGTCAATAAGTCTGATCACTGGGGCGTCGTGTGGCGTAGTGGTCTAAGCAGGTGCCCCATGTGTAGAGGCTACAGTCCTCGCTGCAGTTGGCCCCGGTTCGAGTCCCGCATCGGACGGCCTTTGCTGCATGTCATTCCCCCTCTCTCTGCCTCCCCATTTCCTGTCTCTCTCTACTGCACTATCAATAAAGGCATAAAAAGCCCCAAAAAATATACGTTAAAAAAAAAAAAAAAATCTAATCACAGTTAACAGTGGAAAGCACAGAGCTGATGAAGTGAGAGGAATGTAAGAAAGCAGATGGAGTGAGTGAACAGTGAAAGGATGGAGGTGTAACGACAGGCCTCACTCTCTGTGCTAACTGGCTTAGCAGCCAGATCCTATTAGCCCAGCAGAGACTACAAGGCACGAAACTCTCTGATACAACTGTCACTGCTGCATAAGACTGAATGGGAAGGTGGAAGGGCGAGCTAATGAGTCCATGAAAAAAAACCCTACCCTTACTTGGTGTTGCTATCCGTCAAAGTTTTCCACTCAGGCCTGGCACATGGTGGCACATTTACAATTGAAATTCTTATTGCCTTTGAAACAATGGCTCCTTGATATGAGACAGATAAACAAAAGCAGCTTCTCATTTCTAGTGTCCAACCACCCATTCTGTCAGCAGGCAGATTTAATCAGCTGTAGTCAGTCTCTGGTTTACTTTTGAACGTGTGTAGCCGGCTGGTTTTAAAACACCAAACATTTACCTCATATGCAACAAAGATTTAGTGTGGCTGTAAGCTTAAGAGAACATTATAGTCCCATGTCAAAGAGGCTGTCAGTCACTCAAACTCAATATTTTCTCATTCCCATACGAAGACTACCTGCAGCGTGGCCAGGCTCAGACCTGGGCCTGTGTTTATCAAACTGCTAAGAATGACGTCCCTAAGTTCCAACTTCAGGGTAAAAACATTCTTTGCTGAGTGTGAGCATTAAGACACATTCATTAAGTGACTGTCTCCTACTACCAGTCAAGCGTACAAGTCTAGATTGACTCTCCATCGGCCATATTGTACATTTGTTTAAAAAATGCTCCTCTGCGAGAACGTATAGAATGATGATTATTTTATGAAGCTTATTTTATTTGGATGAAGTATTTAAAGGTTCTGTAAATGATCGTCACTGCCACTAGATGTCATAGATGTCAAATGACACAAAAGTGTCGCTAAACACACAACAAGAAGCTCAACTGAAGAAAGTTACTGTGAACACAAGAACTAGCAAGAAACTATCTAAGCACAACCATTAGCCCACGCTAGCATTGATGTGATATGCTTCACAGCAATGCTGACAGTTAGCCAGCTAGAGATAGCAGTATTTGTCAAACACATTTTCAATATGGGAAACAGCAAGTTAGCTAACGTTATAGTGTCTACTGTAGCCACCACTAATGAAAACATTATTACATTACAGACAAAACATTATGAACCATCAAATGACACATGGAGAAGAAGAAAAAACAGTTCTGAGTCCAGCTGGACCCTTTAGCAGCTTATAGGATTCTCCTCTCAGTAAACCAGACCAGTATTGGCTCCACGGTTGGACTGGGAAAGAAATTCAGTCTTGGACTGATCCACTGGGACCGGCCACACCAATGACACTTTATGGATGTTTTGACGGCCCACCAGCCAACCAGGATTTGAGCCGGTAGTCCTCAGTCCACCTGTGCTTTGGTCTTATCTCTTTCTTTGTCTGAGGACAAAGCTCTGGACATTCTCTTTCACCTGAACACTGCGTATTGCACTGTGACATCTCACCTGTGGGTGGAGCCTGTGTTTATAAATGTGAGGAGGACCAACTGGTTAACAGGAGGGACTCACACGCACACGTTTGTGCACTACCAGACCGGATACCAAAACAAAGAACAGAAAAACTTGGATTACAACACACACGGGGGGGGGGGGTTTCTTCTCTGCTCAGGATGACATTACTCAACTTTATCTTTACATAGAAAGTAGTTGTTCGCTGATGTATTAATGTTTAAAATCACATGTATACAGTAAATAACCTTTTAAACCTCCAGGGATAATTAACATGGGAAATAAACAGTTAAGAATAAAAACTATTTATCAAATGTCTTTGACTTAAAAAGTCTCTTGAAAGTTTATTAAGTAGTAAGTTTTTACTATTATTTTTTATTCAAGTTCAAAATTCAAGTTCAAAATTGGACTTTTAGCAGTTTGAGAAATACGGACCTTGTGTTCATATTTACTTTACAGCGTCCCCAAGTGTTATTCTTGGAAGCTGAATAAATATAGGCCCTGGTATGCAACAGCTTTAATCCCTGGCAGTTAGCAGACGTAGATTAGATCGAGCTGAGGTACATGGAGAGGAAAAGTTGCATCCGGGCATTCCCAACACATACAGTACAAGTAGTGTGCAGTTTCCTGCACTCTGCAAAGTGTATCGTCATGAATTTTCCTGAAATCTAAAAGCCTGTTTCCTTTCCTCTTCTAGTCGCAGGAGAATAAGACCTTCCTGTCAATGATCAACAATGTGCTGACTACAGACGGCTTCTACTTCTGTACCGACTACGACCTGACACACACACTGCAGCGGCTGGCCAACACCAGCCCCGACTTCCAGGAGATGAGTCTGCTGGAGAGGGTGAGACGTTGGATGAACTGCCTGAGGGCGTGTTGTCCAAACAGCATTTTCCTCTGGCAGAAAAGTGCTGCATATCGATTTTGTTTCTTTGAAAACAAAACAATTATCATAAATAATTGATAAACGTTTTTTGCACTCAAGTGTTTTTGGTCAGAAATGGTAGTATGGTTGTTCTCTGTCATGCCAGCCATCTGTGTCATATCACCCTTGTGTTTGTGGTATGTATGCATGTGTGTGACCTTGTTCACATGCCTGTAGAACACGACATATTGCTCTACAGGACCACTAGCAGTAACGAACTGTACAGGTTTATACGCAGACCCAAACTATCAATTATTGATATTAAAGTATTGTGTGTGTATCCAAAGCATGATTATACTCACAGAGCACTTTAATAGGAACACCACCACACAAACACTGGGTAGTTCCTCCCTTTGTTCTCAAACAGCCTCAGTTCTTCATGTCATGGATTCCACAAGATGTTGGAAATAGTAATCAAGAGCTAATGACTTCACAATGATCATTGTTTTTAAGTGTCATATGCCTTTGCTCCTGTTACTGATCAATCATGTGTTGATATCTTACTTGCTTATGGTTTTCAGGCAGATCAGAGGTTTGTGTGGAACGGGAACCTCCTGAGAGAACTTGCTGCGCAGCCAGAGGTAACACATGTTACTCTCGAGCCATGGCCCATTTGTTTTTCAGTCATGCTAGTGAACATCTTATTTTACTTCATCAGAATAACTGTGACTATTTCCCCATAGCTTCATAAATTTGCACTTCCTGTTGTCCATGGATGTATCCTTTCCACTGAATGTCTATTGTTTTCTGATTTTCCGAGATGAGATGAGATGAGATGAGATGAGATGAGATACGATGAGGTGAGTTAAGAGAAAATGAGAGGAGATGTGCTGAGATGAGATATGAGATACCACCCGATGAGATATGATGACGTGAGTAAGATGAAGTGAGATATGAGATACGATGAGATGAGTTACAATGAGATGAATAAGATGAGATGCGATGAGGTTAGATAAAATGAGAGATGTGCTGAGATGAGACAGTGAGATGAAATGCGATAAGGTACGATGAGGCGAGATACGAGGTGAGACATGATGAGGCGAAATACGATGAGGTGAGATTAGATAAAATGAAATAAGATCATATAAGATCAGATCCTGAGCTAAACTTTTCCTTGACCGTCCTGGTTCAGTCATCGTCATGAAGCCGTGTCGTATAAATGGGAAGATCTTTGAGTGGATCCTCATATCCAGGAGAAGCTGCTTCCGGGCCGGCGTCAGATACTACGTCAGAGGTAACAGACCCTGAGACGTGTCACTGCTGAACTGCACCAAGCAGCGTGGAGTCACGTCTTGATGAGAGCAAAGGAGCCGACAGCCATCACATTTTCCTAAGCAGCTAAACAGTAGCAGAAGGTAATGTTGTCTACCTCACCACTGTCCTGCTGTCTGCACAGGCATCGACTCTGAGGGCCATGCTGCTAACTTTGTGGAGACTGAGCAGATAGTTTTGTATGAGGGAGCAAAGGCTTCATTTGTACAGGCAAGTATTATTAGGGCTGCTCATATTCTCATTCTGTCTTTTAGATCAGAAGTTAAAGCATTTAAGTTTGAGAAGTGCAAGATTTCAGAAATGATTTTTGAAATGACTTAACTTTTTTTTTTTTCATCCCCAGACACGAGGCTCCATGCCCTTTTACTGGAGCCAGAGGCCCAACCTCAAATACAAACCTAAACCTATAATCAGCAAAACCACCAGTCACGTAAGATGAGGCGTTGTGTATTTTTTTCTAAATAGTGATTTTTTTTTTTTTTTTAATGTGAAAATTGGACGCTAACCACTTGAAAACTTTGTGTAGATGGATGGTTTCCAGAGGCATTTCGACTCTCAGCTCCTCATCTATGGAAAGCAAACTATTCTCAACCTGGTGAGGACTCTCCTTAAAGCTCTTCGTTATTGGTTCAAAAGTAAAGAGAAGAAAGACTCTGTGACAGATGTGTGTTTTGTTGTTCCAGGTGAATCAGAAGGGCTCAGAGAAGCCACTAGAACAGGCCTTTGCAAAGATGGTGTCAGGCATGAACAATGGTATGCTCAGGTAAGTGTCGCCCAATGCTTTGCCCAGTTTGTATGTTCACTGAGTACACAGTCACTTAGAATAATAATTATCATGATAATAATAATAACTTTATTTATATAGCACTTTCTTAACGAAAGTTACAAAGTGCTTCACAAGAAAAAAGGTAAAACCAGATAAAAGAAAAGGTCAAAGAACCAGAGCATAATAAAAAGTGTAAAACAGCATAAATAAAAAACACCTCAAATTAACATTATCCAAAAAAATCTGACGGTAAGTGAAATATGGGATATATACTGTATATAAGAGATAAAACAATATAAATAAAATGCGTATCAGACATTACCAAAGGTTAAGACAAATAAAAGGCGTTTTACGAAGAGATTTAAAGGAAGTTAAAGATTTACAGTGTCTGATTTAAGTCGGGAGAGAGTTCCACTGTGTCGGGGCTCTTAGTCACAAACCTTGACCTTGAGGTGATCAGCAGGCCTCCTTCCACCTATCTAAATTGTCAGTTGGGCCATGTCAATTAATCAGATATGTAATTGGGGGCAGAGCAGAGATTTAAAATCAATCTGAAATCTAACAGGGAGCCAGTGAAGGGAGGCGAGTGAACCTGTTTAATCCAGAAATAATCCAGCAGCAGCATTTTGAATACCTGAATACAGTACATCACAATAATCAAGCTGAGAATGCATGTACAACTTATGTAACTATGTTAATCAGAGAAACCACAATACAATGTGTTTACCTGCACTGTGGCAACCAGGTTACTCTAACTCTGTGTATACATGCAGCAGGTGAGTGATCAGGTTTCTCTCCTGCCCCTGACCATATTTTGGTTTTATTGTAACTTTATTAGAGGCAGAAGATCTTGTGTCACTCCAGACCTTTTTCATGCTGTGTGTGTCTGTGTAGGAGCACAGAGACAGAGACAGTGCAGAGATGTTCCTCTCAGTACAAACGTGTTTACATTTAAAAAACAACAGGCCCATATTCAGCATGCACATATTGTACCGCTGCCCATCAAAGCCCTGAAAAACAAAATGGCCAAGAGCCAGCCTCTGTAACGCTGCTTACTAGTTTTATTGTACATTACATCATGACTGATGGACGGGCGGTGTGCAATTTGTCGGCTGATAGCATCTGTATATGTGGTGTTGGTATTGTGTGTGTGTGTGTGTACATGTGCATGACTGACATATTTATGCAGTGTGAGATTTGTATTTTAACAGCAGATTCTGAATGTGTCCAAGACACATTTCCTTCAGGACAATAAAGCGCATCTTATCTTACTTTATTAGGTACACCTGTTCAACTGCTCATTAACGCAAATATCTAATAGGCCAATCAACTGGCAGCAACTCAATGCATTTAGTCACGTAGACATGGTCAAGACGATCTGCTGAAGTTCAAACCGAGCATCAGAATGGGGAAGAAAGGTGATTTAAGTGACTTTGAACATGGCATCATTGTTGGTGCCAGACGGGCGGATCTGAGTATTTCAGAAACTGCTGATCTACTGGGATTTTCACACACAACCATCTCTAGGGTTTTACAGAGAATGGTCCGAAAAAGAGGAAATGTCCAGTGAGCGGCAGTTCTCTGGGAGAAAAGGCCTTGTTGATGCCAGAGGTCAGAGGAGAATGGTCAGACTGGTTTGAGCTGGTAGAAAAGCAACAGTAACTCAAATAACCACTCATTACAACCGAGGTATGCAGAAGAGCGTCTCTGAACGAACAACACGTGGAACCTTGAAGCAGATGGGCGACAGCAGCAGGAGTCCACACCGGGTGCCACTCCTGTCGGCTGAGAACAGGAAACTGAGGCTACAATTCACATAGGCTCACCAAAATCAGACAATTGAAGATTAGAAAAACATTGCCTGGTCTGATGAGTCTTGATTTCTGCTGAGACATTCGGATGGTCGGGTCAGAATTTGGTGTAAACAACATGAAAGCTTGGATCCATCCTGCCTTGTATCAACGGTTCGGACTGGTGGTGGTGTAATGGTGTGGGGAATATGTTCTTGGCGCACTTTGGGCCCCTTAGTACCAATTGAACATTGTTTAAACGCCACAGCCTACCTGAGTATTGTTGCTGACCATGTCCATCCCTTTAGGACCTCAGTGTACCGATCTTCTGATGGATACTTCCAGCAGGACAAGGCGCCATGTCACAAAGCTCAAATCATCTCAAACTGGTTTCTTGAACATGACAATGAGTTCACTGAACTCCAATGGCCTCCACAGTCACCAGATCTGTGTTTGTCTGACAGAAGCTCAACATTGACTTTTATCTAGTTTTAAGCCACATACACTTTTTCCACCTTGGTGGTTTTCAGCTCTGTATTTGAAGCAGATGAAGGATTTTAGTCGTCGGACGTCTGGATCTGAAGTTATCAGAGAAACAAGCTGAGGAAATGTTAGACAGCTCAGCTCCCAGCTGCTGGAGACGTCCTGTCCTGTGTCACTGAAGAGAGGAGGACACCTCTGTGGATCATTCAGCTGCTGGTAAAAACCTGCTGAACGTCTGCTTCATAAGTTATCAGAGAAACAATCAGAACAAAGGTCAGCATCAATCTCAGCTCCAGCTCTTCCCTGAGTCTCTGTCCTCCGTACAGCGTCGCTCAAACACTGACTTTAAATGTCAAACTGCTTCATTCAGTGTTTTTAATGGTTAGAATCACTGGGTCTGTTTGATTTCCTGAACCACTGACTGAAGGAATCCAAACCGGGAGGAGCTTACAGTAATGGTGGTGAAGACAACAACTCCCATGATCCCATGCTATTTCACAACGTTAACCAATTGCATCTTTTGTTATTGTTTTGATGGAGACGCCTAGAGGCAGAAGCTACAGGCAGTGAATTTACACATCAGTCTACTAGAGAAAGCCAACTGTAACCGGTTTCTGAAGTGCATGTAAACGCTCTGATTGTATTAGTGTTAAGTGTTTGGTAAGTGTTTCTGCACCGTCTGCCTGTTGGACTTTAATCCCGCGACATTGTCTCCTCTGTCCTCAGTTACATCGCCTTCGACTTCCACAAAGAGTGTAGCCACATGCGATGGGACCGTCTCCAGATCTTAGTGGATTCCGTCGCTGAGATACAAGATGAATACGGGTAACTTAACAGGCAGCTGTTCTGGGTGAATATGCAGCTGTTTACTGTGAGGGAGTATTCAGAGTTTTTTTTTTTTTTTTTCCTGTGTGCAGCTACTTCATGGTGAACTCAGAGGGGAAGACGGTGGCCCAAGAGAGAGGAGTCTTCCGCAGTAACTGCATGGACTGCCTGGACAGAACCAATGTCATCCAGAGCCTGCTGGCCCGACGCTCCCTGCAGTCTCAGCTCCAGGTGATTTTAACCCCGCTGCTGCTAAGCCTCATGGAATGGCAAAACAATCATAGAATCCTTTGAGAATGCAGGGTTTAATTGTAATTCCAGCCCTAAGGTCCTGCCCATGTGCAGCATGTTTCAACAGAAATGAGAAGACTTACTGTCTTTCTCCAGAGCTTTCAGTCACATCCATGTCCTCTCTACTGACATGAGTTCAATAGCTGTTATGGTTTTTTGTCCTTCTGTGCCGGCCACAGTCAGGTAGATGGATAGTGTGTTTTGTGAAGTCACACTGACCTTGACCTTTGACCTCTCATAATCAAATCAGTTTGGACTTTTTTGCCATAATACAAGACTTCACACCGCTTCACAGCTATTATGAAAAAAATTCTCACCAACATATTTTCTTTGACTCTGGATAAACAGGGATGTAACCTGAAACTAGTCTGAGTGGTGGAGGCAGACAACCGCGAGAAGGAGATTCTAGTCTTAAGCATTAAGCATCAGATATTTCTTGACCTTGAAAATAGTAATTTGGCAAACCAACATAAACTCTAGAAGTGTTTTATTCATCACAGGATGAGTGACACTTCAAATTTGATGCTTAACATTCCGTCAAAAATTGTAATATTTCAAACATACTAAGCAAATGGACGTTAGAAGATACATGTAGGTGGAATACCTCTTTAAATACATGTTTCCAGCCACTGGGCCATGTGTTTGGTTTGTATTTTTGGAAAGCTTATGGACTGACCAGTATGTGTGTCCTGTCTGTGTGTGGACAGAGGATGGGGGTGCTGAATGTGGGCCAGCGGATTGAAGAGCAGGCTGAGTTTGAGAAGATCTACAAGAACGGTAAGTCCTCTGTCTTCTAGGCCCGACTGTTAGCATGTGCGGTGTGTTTAGTAGAAGCTCTGGCCTCTGAGCGCGTCCTCACTGTTCTCTGTGTGTGCTCTCTAACCAGCATGGGCTGACAATGCCAATGCATGCGCTGTACAGTACGCAGGAACCGGAGCCTTGAAAACAGACTTCACAAGGTACAGTACTGTAACAGCCCCACACCACATATCAGTTGGCTAACGTGTGTTGTATTCTGGAGTCCCGCTGCAGTATCATTACCATGGCTGCTGTTTAATACAGTTCATTTCTCCATCAGGACGGGGAAGAGGACCAGGTGGGGGCTGCTGATGGATGGCTGGAACTCCATGATCCGCTACTACAAAAACAACTTCTCTGATGGATTCAGACAGGTACGATGCAGATACATCATCACTAGGGCTGGGTGATTAAACCATAGCAATAATTATCGCAAAATTATTTTCCTTGATAGAAACATTAAAAATGTTGGATATAATTCATTTCCATGCTTATAGCACACCCACAAATAAATCACGAACGGCCAATCATGTTGCAGGAATAGAGGTCTACGTTGTACAGGTTAGGATGGACAGTGAGAGGTGTAAATGCGGACCAGCACGTGATATTGGTTACGGACGCACGCAGTGGCTGACGGTCTTGAAGTTGGAGTGGAGTAAGCAAATAAGGCGAAATAAGCGACATCACAGGAAAAGCAGAAGCTTAGATCCTGAATATCTATGAATGTGAATGTTTTTCTTTAAAGTCTGGTGTGTGTTAAAACTCGACCTTAGAGGCGACTAATGTGTTAAACAGCTACATTATATGTAGTTATAGCTTTTGCTCTAAAAGCTGCTGATATGATAATGATTAGTACGACTGTGGCTGATTGATCTGTCCACTATGTGATGTCTGACTGATGAATTTCAGAATAAAGGTCGTAGTGTCGGCTACAACCAACAGCAGCTATAAACAGTGAACATTAGCTTGATCAGGTAGCAGAATATGAAGTGATTTGGTGAAAGAGTGAACAATAATGTGGTAACAGTGGAGACCTCTGCTGGTCACTTTAGACAACACTATCTGGGAGGGACCACACAGTGTGTTTACACATATTACAGTTTTTCTGAAAAGCTGTGATGCAATTCACTCATCAGACACATCATTCTCACAACTCTTAATGCAGTTCTCAAAACAGTTCATGCATTTCCTCACACACACAGAATTAGCATTTCTCATTGTATTTGTACAAGCTTCCTTTGTATCCACACAGTTAGTTGGCATACATGAATTTGCATGTTTCAACACATGTGAACAACGTTTTGTTTTAGAGGCTTTTTGCACTGGTTGCAGTGTTAGGAGAAATGCATGAACTGTTTTGAGAACTAATTAATGAGGCTGTTAGTTCACGATACACAAGTAAATAATACATTCACACACACACACTTCTGATGAAATATTTGTCATGTCTATCTGTGCATAATGTTACACTCCACAGGATGGCCATTCTATCCTCTTGGCTTTTATTTTGAAAAATTTACCTTTACTTCCACCTGACTTTCTTAATTCTTCAATTCAACAAGGAATAATATGGTTCCGAGCTGTTTTGGCAGCGTGAGTTGGTGTCATTGTTGTGGCTGATCAGAGAACTTCGAGAACTCTTCTCTTGAATAAATGAAACGCAAAGCTTCCTTGAATTTGTCAGTGAAGAGAATATGCTGTCAACTGACTTAACAAACACACACAGTAACTGCACATGGTTTAATAACCACACACCTCCTCTATAGCAACATGTTTTTAACAAGATTGTGGTAAAATGTTCCAGTTGCATTTCAGTCTCTTGGAAATGAAGACGGACATAAAATTCTTTTTATTCTTCTGTGTGTCTGTTTACCCTCTTTAACCTTTCATGTTCAGCCCCAATAATAAAATACTTAGGATTTGGGATTGTGTGTGTGTTCAGTCCAGTCACAGTGTCTCTGTGGTTTTGCTGGTTTCAGGACTCCATTGATCTGTTTCTGGGTAACTTTGCTGTTGATGAGTCAGATGGACCCACTCCTCTTCGTGTGCAGAAGGACTGGAAGTTCCTCACGGTCAGTACACAAGTGTTTTCTCAGTTATCAGCAGCAGCAGTGAATGTGACCGCTGATCTCATCCACCGTTCTGTTTGCAGCTGCCCATCATCATGCTGGTGGCGTTTTCCATGTGCATCGTGTGTCTTCTCATGGCTGGTAAGTTCAACCTATACTCACATTATCTTTTTTCTGTGATCAATCCTTGTAAAGATACAGAAATTCATATTTGAGAATTTGAAGTGAAATAGGTCTCACCTGTGCAGGTGGTTTTGAGAAAAGTCACCAGTAACTGTTAATTCCTTCGGCGACAGCCAGAGCCGGCACAGAGGCATAAAGGCTTTCAGGTTGTCCGTCTGTCCGTCCCGTTCTCGTGGACACGATATTGCAGTAACACCTTGACGGAACTTCTTCAAATTTGGCACAAGCATTCACTTCGATGCAAAGGTGAACTGATTAGAGTTTGGTCTAAGGTCAAGGTGACCTCATAAAACATGTGAACATAATATGGTCATTAAGACTAGAAAAGCGCTATATAGGTGCTATATAAAGTGCTATATAAATGCAAGTCCATTTACCATGATATTTACATGTAGAACCAGCACCACAAACAGAGTCATAGTCAGTGACCCTGAGCAGACAGTGAGTAGCTAGCCAACTGCGACGACACCCACCTGTCACTCAAAGCAGCCACGTTCTCAATTATACATTTTTTATACATACATTAAACAATTATACACAATTTTCGACCATTTCTGGCTTTATTATAACAGGGACACTTAGCGAGAGAGACAGGAAAGTTAGGGAAGAGAGAGGGAAGCCCGAGTCAGATTTGAACCCAGGCTGCTGTGGTAAGGACTGATGGGAGTCTATGGGGGTTGGGGTTAGCAGAATGTGAGCGTCCTCATCCTGATGGTCGAAGTCATCTACATATGACCTGTGACTGGAAGATGCACACACCAAAGCTGCAGCGCTGGACTAGAAATAGTGACTTTGCAGTTTCTCTCCACTGTCTGTGAACCACAGTATTTAACAGGACTGAGTTCACCCCAATGAAATATCACTAAAATGTTCACATTTCTACCACCTTACAATAATTGTATGTGTGTGTGATGTATTTTGAAGTTAAAGTGTAGAGTATGTGATCTTATACAATTAAAATATTAATACATATATTATATATTAAAAGCAAACAGGTTAGATAGACTACAATTACATATAGGCCCCAAACCTCAATGCTATTAAGGGGATAACACCAGTGATTTCCAGAGACAGTATTAAACATTGACTGCAGGAACATGTGTAGTAGGCCTGCAGGGGCCTACCTGCACCTGTGGCGTGTGGGATCTCAGTCTGGTCTGATTCTAGACAGTCTGACCTTTGACCAATGAAGCCGGTGTATTGTCCTGAATTGTACGACAGCGTGTAGTTGACAAATGGATGATGAGTAGTTCCTATCTCTGCCAATTTGCACCTGAAATCTGTTCATTTAAATCCTCTTCCCCTTCATTTTTCAGATGATCTAAAGGTGTTGAGTTGTACAGATTAAGGAGGTTATATATTTGACCTATAATCTGCTTTTCGAGTCGAACAGAGATGTGAGGGGATATAAAGGGAAGCAGTTAGAATGTGAGGCTATGAAATTCTGCAGCTGTAGATATCTATTACTGTTTACTCAGAGGTCCTGAAATGAAAGGATCCCACTCTTAAGCCAAATATTTGGAGATCTGATTATCATTTAACCATTAAAATATTCCTGTTTATGGGGCGTTGTGTGGTGTAGTGGTCTAAGCAGGCGCCCCATGTGTAGAGGCTACAGTCCTCGCTGCAGCTGGCCCCGGTTCAAGTCCCGCATCGGACAACCTTTGCTGCATGTCATTCCCCCTCTCTCTGCCTCCCCATTTCCTGTCTCTCTCTACTGTACTATCAAATAAAGGCATAAAAAAGCCCAAAAAATATTCCTGTTTTTGGATAAAAAAACAAATGGATACGATATGTAAACAAAAACAGTTTTGGTCTCTAGAGCTAATTTCCTCCTTCATGAAAACTGTTTATATAACTCATCTGTTTACATTTTTATTAAGTCTTAAAGTTATGAAGAATTGAGGGCGTGACAGGTGGGTGAGCGAATGCTTGCCACAAACCGGCATTCAGCCACACACCCCACCTCTTTGACCATTCTTGGATTAGCTGGGAGTTTGGGGCGGAGTCAGTCACTGCCAAGATGGCGACGGGGAAGCAGCTCACTCTGAGCTTCAAAACCGCTCTTCAGAAAACCTGTGGGTGACGTCATGTCCATCTTTCTTTACAGTCTATGGCTTATCACCACCTGCAGCTATATTTTCAGCTGAAACTGATGGTGGGTGGGAGGGTGTGAATGAAAGTTTGAGAGCTTCAGGTGATGGGCTGAAAACCAGGATCATGGAATGCTGCTTGTCTTCTAGGTGACACGTGGACAGAGACCTTGGCCTATGTGATGTTCTGGGGGGCTGCGAGCGCCATCACAGCCGCCATCATCCTGTTTAACGGCCAAGACTTTGTGGACGCCCCCAAACTGGTTCACAAGGAGAAGATGGACTGAGTGGTGTGTGTGTGTGTGTGTGTGTGTGTGTGTGTGTGCGTGTGTGTGTGTGCGTGTGTGTGCGTGCGTGTGTGTGCGTGTGTGTGTGTGCGTGCGTGTGTGTGTGTGTGTGCGTGTGTGTGTGTGTGTGTGGAGCAGCTGGGCCCAGCAGGCTCATATACCTCGTCATCTTCACCGTCATCTTCCTCACGTCTGGACTCTAGACTGATCTGCTGCCTCCACACTGTCCTCCAGACTCAGTCAGATCATCATGTTTGACCTTCCTCTGCACACACTGCTTAACATGGTTTGCTTTCCTCCTACTGTATCTTTAGGTTGGCTTTGCTGGTGTTAGGTTGTCAGTTGTACAGACGGTCTGTGATGGGACTTCTTATTTGTTTACCATTTTTAAAAATTTTAAACCAGTAAAAATGTTCTAACGAGACATTTTCTATTGTGGTTTATGACACGCAGCAGTTGAAGGCCCTACATGCCCACGCAGGTGTTTCTGTCAGTTTTTTAAAGTGGGTGGAGCTATGCTGTACATGAAGTGATGTCACCAAACTCCACATGCTACTACAAAAATGATAAACAGTGTAAGATGTCCCAACACAAGAGGTAGTTGTTGAAACACCTGTGTGGGTGGATTATATGTGTAGGCCCTTTAAAGCTGCATTAATTGTTGTTCATTGTTGATTTGGTGTTGGGTGGGTGGTGTACAGGGAGTCATCAGAGCTTCTTCTGCTGTTGGAAATGAGGTTGATAAGAGGAGGTGTTGATCCTAAAACCAAAATGATGAGCTGAAAGAAGCTAAAAATATGGGGTCAGGCTTCTCTCTGGAGCTCTAGCAACAACAGCTCAGTGAGCCAATCAGAAGAGAGGAGCCTCTCTCCTGATTGGCTGAGTGTTTTCTGAGTGAGCTAATAAAAATATAGCAGATTTCAGGTAAAACACTCAGAGAAACCAAATCCTGCAATGTTGGATTGTGGATCCAGGTGGGCGGGGCTTGGGGCATGGCTGAAAGCGGTGACTGCTTTGTTGTGACATCACAAAGTTTCACAAGTCCTGACGGCTGGTTTTAAGGCTCAGTTTCTGAATACAGGCTGTGTGCATTTCTCTGTGGACTGAGGCTTTGATACTTTCACAGTATTAATATAGAACCTAGACCTGCTTTATAATCAAACAACACATGGACATCTACCTTTGTACTATATGGACCTTTTAATATCCAAAACATTGATTAGTGCAGCTTTAAAGATACTTAATGTAATCACATTCTTCCCAAACAGATGATTGTTCCCTTAATGTCGATCAACCCTAAACAGTCACAATGAAAGATGTGGGACTTCAACATATAGGGAACTCTATACAGTTTGTACATGTTGACTTCTCAGTGTAACGAGTCTTACAAACTTGCACATGAAATATAATATTTGGCTAATCTGTATGTAACTGGAGTGAACAATATGTCTTCCTATTAAGCTAATTTAACAGAGTATCTGTGATGATTCTGTTTTTATTAATGGCTTACTGCTTTCCTTCCTCACAATCATTATTTTTGCACTTTGGAGAACCATGAAATGTGCTGCCTGCACACAGCTGTTGAAGATGTATCCATTTTAACCCAGTGGTAGTACTGCAGCGAATCCAGACCTCTGCAACTCAGCCCACGTCTTTGATTTGTTCAGTGATTTAAATCTGCGCTGACTGAAGGTTTTTTTGTTAAAAGCAGAGGGGTTGGCGAAGCAGTTGACCAATTTAGAGCTTTGTATTCTGGATTAAGAATGAGGACATCTGTGGGCTCAAATTAGGGTCAAAGAGTTTTTACCCTGTTTTTTACACCTGAATCTGATTGGACAATAATAGTCCAATCACAAAGCAGAGTTGAATCAGAGGGCATGTGGTTCCATGGCATTCTTCTCTGCCTGAAAGGTGTAGTAGGTTTTCAAGATGGATGAGGGCGTGGACTCTGTGACACAAGTGTGTTTGCAGACACACAAAGATCATTAAATGTTTACCATTATTTTCTACAGCATCATCAAATAAAAATAAACCTGACATTGTCCATCTTAAAAATCTACTACAGAGAAGAAGGTACAGAACCACCTGCCCTTTGATTGGACTCTCCTTTGTGATTGGATTGTTATTGTCCAATCAGATTCAGGATTCATTCTCTCTTTCTCGCTCTCTTCACAGGTTTATAAAGGTTGATGTACAACCACAAACTTTGGAATTATCTCTGTACATCATTTTACAAGCTCAGAACCTTTTTGACCCTAATTTGAGCCCGTACCCATTGTCTTCCTGAATCTGTAGTTAGCTTCTTAGCTACAGCAGATCACTGTGTTGTTAAGACCTGTATGTCATTAGCTTGAGATCAACGATGACACATGGTTTACCTACTGAAGTTTTTAATGCGTTTTATCATGTCATATTTTTTGTCATCTTTCACATCCTTACGGCATATGTACATATCACATTCACATTAACCATTTTTATGCCTCTGCGCCGGCGACTGCCAAAGCCATATTGTTTTCGGGTTGTCCATCCGTCCCATTCTTGTGAATGCACTATCTGAGTAACACCTTGACGGAACTTCTGCAAATTTGGTACAAATGTCCACTTGGACTCAAAGACGAATTGATTAGATTTTTGTGGCTAAAGGTCAAGGTCAGTGTGACCTCACAAAACACTTTTTAGCCTTTAATCAAGACTTCACACAACAATTATGACAAAATTTCACAATTAAATAGTTAATATTTTATATGACTCTGGATACACAAAGTTAAACTAGTCTGAGTGGCAGAGGCATACAACCACGAGGCAGCCATTCTAAGTGATGTATCCGTCTCATATACCTAGTTTTCAGCCAACACGGAAGTACGCCAGAGAAATATGTAAATTCAAGAAATGTGATTTCTGTAAATCAACTCATAACAACCTGTACATCTGATGTGATGTCATTTTTCTACCACTAGAAGAAGATAACATCATTCTTAGTTCCACCTACAAAGCATTGGTTGGTTGATTGTTTCTCCACCGGGGGAAACGGCTGTCGATGAGCCGCCAGACACATTTGAATCTCTGAGTAAATCGTTGAGCTGAGTGGTGATTCAGAGGTCTGGTAAGCAATCAGACTGTACCATCTTTTAACAGCATTATATACATGTAGGTTTTAGCCTGTTCATCTCAGTTCATGCCACGGAGGGTTCGGGCTCGATGATCTCGCGTGCACCTATTCATGAATGTTCTCAGTCTGGTTCAGTTCCCTGTTTCCTCACAGAGGTTTGGGGTTTGTGGTTCTCTAGACTAGAACAGAATGAATCCAACTCATCCCTGGGATCACTGCCTTACACAGCTGCCCCTCAGTGGAGAGGACACGAACTGAACCTTTCATATCGTCAGTAAAGATCTGATAGGGTTTTGAAACCGTCCTCTGATGTTGATTTAAGTTGGTCGTAGGAGAATCGGTCACTATCCCTTCTTGGTCTGTGTGTGATGTTACATACAAGCTGTGCGGTGCGAGGTTTGGTTTCTCATGTATCAGATCACACCAACATGCCCTTCGATGATTGATTGATTGATTGATTGAATGATTGATTGAGTTTAAAACTTTTGTCTAAACATTTATCTAGCTGGACTCTTATCATGCTAGCATTTCCAAGAGGTTGTAGAATCTTGATCTGAACTTAGTAAGTTTGGGTGACAGTTTAAGGTCAAGGTCCACGTACGGACAGAGTCCTGAAGTGCTGAAAAGTTTTTATTCCTCCGTGCCAGCGACAGTCAGAGCCAGAGGCACATTGTTTTCAGGTTGTCCGTCTGTCTGTCCCATTCTCATGGACAAGATATCTCAGTAATGCCTTGAAGGAATTTGGTGGTCAAAGGTCATGGTGAAAGTGACCTCACAAAGACTGGTGTTGGCCCTTTGAACACTATCTTGGGAAGTCTTCGAGGGAATCCCTTCACATTTGGCACATGTTCATTGGGACTGATTAGATTTTTGTGATCAAAGGTCAAGGTCAGTGTGACCTCACTAAACACTTTTTAGCCATTACTCAAGACTTCACAGCAATTGTGAAAAAGTTTTACACAAATGGTTCATATTTTCTATGACAAATGATAAACAGGGATGTGACCTGAAACTAGTGTGAGTGGAGGAGGCAGGTGATTCTAGTTGGATCTTTTGTGATCAAGATAACTTGTGCATAATAATAGCTTGTGCAAACAAGATGGAATGATGTGCACACAAGATAATAACTTGTGGATGTTAACTTCTGCACACAAGAAAAACATATTTCAGGACTTCAGGTACTCTGTACTTACTACTTTCAACTGCATCTTATGGTTTGGTTGTATGCTCAGTTGAGTTGCTGGTAAACATCAGCAGTAAGTGCACCTTGAGTTTTTTTTTTTTTTTTTTTTTTTTTTTTTAAACTTT